TGTTGGAGCAATCATTGCAGGCTTCCAACAGTTGGTCCATACCCGGTAGATTTTCTTCAGGGGTATAGTTCTTGCTCAAAAAAGAGGCCAAGATCTGTCTGAATGGGAGGTTCCAGCCTGAATCTCGTCTGGCAAAGAAGGTGATGAGGGTTGAACCAAGCTTTTGGAGAACGAAATTTGAATCTGGCAGATTCACTAAACGTATGTAATTGCCCACTAGCGCTTCAAGCAGGGAGCTTCTCATGTCCTCATCCTTCCCCAAACCATCATGGTCCCTGACATCCCTTTAGCGGCTTTGGTGACGCGAAAATAGACGAAATCTTAGATACTTACCAGTCGGCGTTGATCTTGATAGTCAATGTCAAGGCACCATAAAATCGTATGGTGGCTTCTCCATGATGAAGCAGGTTCAGAGCTAGTTGCCATGCTGACTTCTCGCGCTGGAGCCGCTGGATCTGCTTCTGTATCTCATTTACGCGCTCCGGGGACGACTGGTTAGAAGGATTATGAAGCTCGACTATCAGCTGCTCCATGGTCTCTATGAGGCAGGTTCAAACAGCACATTCTGCTCCAAGCAGAGGAGGTTCTGGTCCTTGATGAAGTGGGTAAGGATGCGTTGACCCGGATCCAAGTACGTAGAATGCGGCCTTTGCCGGAAAATTAGGACTTGGTCCTGGAAGCCTCAATCGTGGAAGGTGCGGCTGGTCCGAGGCCTGAATAAATGGAGGAAGATCAGAGATTCACGCCCGAGGTTGACAGCAGATCCGGTAGAAGCTTTGCGTGGAGATTTGCAGCGTGTCATACGATTCCAACATGACTTGAGCAGGCACAATCGACCTCAAGAAATTTGGAGAAGCAGGCGGCGTATGATTAAGGTGGATTTCTGACTTTGTCCAAGCGCCCAAGATATCAACATGAAGCTTAGTGCGGTGGGTGAGTAATTTGGAAGCAACTTGTGACAGACCTGTAAAAGACGTGGGTTGACGGACTATCACAAGGCTGCAGCCTTGCCGGCAAATGATCAGTTCGGCATGCTTGCCCAGCTGGGCCGCAGTGCAGTCCAGCCATGTCACCAACGAATCTAGCAACATGGCACATGAGCCGCGTTTGAGATAGCTGTGTCTGTATCTTTCTACCTTCACAGGGTCTCCCTTTCAATGCGCTGGTCGTTCCTGCGTCTCCCGTCGTTGCTGCGTCTCACGTCGCCTCGCTCGCAGACCCTCGCTTCTACGCTCTCCCCCTCACAATCAGTTCGGTCTTTCTCCTTCTCAAGCTCGTTACGAAGGGTCGACATGGAAAAGGTGGATACGACAAAGCGTCTGTCGCAGCTGCGCGATCTAATGCGTGAACATAAACTTGATGTCTACATTGTGCCTTCGGAAGACAGTCACCAGTCAGAGTACATTGCACCTTGCGACGCGAGGAGGGCATACATCTCTGGTTTCACTGGATCCGCTGGCACGGCCGTTATTACTCTCGAGAAAGCAGCTCTGTCGACAGATGGCCGCTATTTCAATCAGGCTTCGAAGCAGCTTGATGAAAACTGGCTGTTGTTGAAGCAGGGCATGGAAGACGTCCCCACCTGGCAGGAATGGTGCGAATATCATCTCCGTTGACTTGTGCAAGACTGAGCTGAGATTAGGACTACAGAGCAGGCAGAGGGCGGCAAAACAGTCGGCGTCGATCCCACCGTAATTACAGCCGCAGATGCTCGCAAACTAAGTGAGACATTGAAAAAGAAGTCACATGCAACACTGGTCGGGGTCTCGGAGAATCTCGTCGATAACATCTGGAATGACAGGCCACCAAGGCCGGCAGAGAGAGTTATTGTCCTCTCCGAAAAGTATGCTGGAAAGCCTTACCAACAGAAACTCGATGATCTTCGCAAAGAGTTGAAGAAGAAGAAGGCTGTTGGAATGGTTGTCTCGATGCTTGACGAGGTCGCTTGGCTTTTCAATCTCCGCGGAAGTGATATCCCATACAACCCTGTGTTCTTCTCCTACGCAGCCGTTACCCCAAACTCGGCTACGCTGTATATCGACTCGGCCAAAATCGGGTCAGAAGTGAGAGAGCACCTCGAAGGAGCCGTGGAAATCAAGTCTTACGACGACCTCTTTTCTGATCTCACGAGCATCGCCGAAGCAGCGGCCAATGAATTTCAGGCCAATGGAGTCACTAAATCCCATCCTAATAGACTTCTGCTCTCCAATAAATCGTCTTGGGCGCTGTATCTTGGCTTGGGTGGTGAAGACAAGGTTGAAGAGTCTCGAAGTCCTATCGCAGACGCGAAGGCTATCAAGAATCCCACTGAACTTGAGGGGATGCGACAATGCCACATCCGCGATGGTGCTGCGCTTAGTGAATACTTTGCCTGGCTGGAAGAAGAACTACACAGTGGATCATGGGTTGATGAAGTCCAGGCTGCTGACAAGCTCGAGGCGATCAGGTCAAAAGGGGAGCATTTCGTCGGGCTATCTTTTGACACTATCTCGGCGACAGGACCCAACGCCGCCGTGATACACTACTCGCCAGAGAGGGGGAATTGTTCAACAATTGATGTAAGAGCTGTATACCTGTGTGATTCGGGGGCTCAATACCTCGATGGCACCACCGACACGACGAGGACTTTACATTTCGGTACCCCAAGTGATATGGAGATCAAAGCATACACTCTGGTGCTCAAAGGGGTCATTGCTCTGGACCGCGCCGTCTTTCCCAAAGGCACGACAGGATTTGCCATCGACGCGTTCGCTCGCCAACATCTGTGGCGTGAGGGACTCGACTACCGCCATGGCACTGGTCACGGAGTGGGTTCTTACCTTAACGTCCACGAAGGCCCTATCGGAATTGGCACGCGCGCCGCATACTCCGAAGTCTCGCTTAGTATCGGCAACGTCATCTCCGACGAGCCGGGATATTATGAAGACGGAAACTTCGGGATCCGGATCGAGAACATGATCATGGCTTGCGAGGCCAAGACGAATCACAAGTTTGGAGATAAGCCTTGGATCGGGTTTGAACATGTGACTATGGTGCCCATGTGCAGGAAATTGATTGATCCGAGTCTCTTGGACCCGGAGGAGAGAGCGTGGTTGAATGCGTATCATCACGAGGTGTGGGAGAAGACCAGTGGGTTTTTTGACAAGGACGAGAGAACCACGAAGTGGTTGAGGAGGGAGACTGACCCGATCTGATGCAAGAGAGATTACGTCTGCATCAGATTTGAAGGCATTGAACCGACGAGGGAGAGTGAGGACGTCTTGTGCAGCCCCGAATATTTTAACAGCCTGATGCTATGCTGTATTCATTTTCATTGAGCACTTCTCTGGGCGAGTGTCATTGGAAGAAGAGCAGAGAAAAGGGGCTTGGACTAGAAAGATGGTATGGATATGATAATAGAATTAAGGCTACCCATAGCGAGGTAGGGAAAGACAGGGTTTGGCCACTCCTTCGAGGCTGTCATATGGCAACCATCTCACTCGCCTACTTCCCTTTCCTCCCATGCCTGTGGGCTTCGATCAAGCGAAGAACCCACACTCACACATCCCTCGTTGACACAATCCGTGCAGGGATTTTAGGGTGCTCAACAACCTGCTGTACACCCGACGGCTGCTGCACTCACAGCAGCAGTAGTAGCAGCGGACGCAGCGACCGAAGAATATTCCTCATCGTTGGCTCGCCTTTCAGCAGCCCACCTCGCCGCCTCTGCTCTCTTCTGTGGGTTAGGCGTATAGAAAAGATTCGAAGACGGTGTCGTGGATAGAACGATTCTTCGCAGTTGCATCCGGCGCAACGCTGGATGGGAACAAAGCGTTGCTGATCGTGGGTATCAGGTGGGGGAAATCCCTGAGGCGAGGAGTCAATTGGCAGTTGTAGGCCCTTGAGAATGCCATTTTGGAGACCCGTCTGCTCCAGTGACGACTTGGGGCGCTATCCCAGATAGTCTTGGAAGTTACGCATAAGTTCAATACGGCACTTGGATAGAGGTTCGAGGAGCTTCAGGCCGTCGGGCATGGCGGTAAAGACTTTGGACTTCTCTGGCGGGTATATCTTGCCGACGATCAAATTCCGTGGTGTTCTGTCAGGTCGTAGCTGGGCTTCACGGGACGTGGACTGGCTGCCCTGGTGGCGTGCACCCTTTCAAGCAATCGCCGTATTAGGGCCGTCTTCTGGTCGAGGTGGATGAATGCGTGGACGCGGTCTGGCAGGGCGAGGACGAGGACTCCTCTGACAACTCACAGGTCAGAGCTTTCTGCGCTTTGAGAATGACATTGCATTTCTCGCGCTGAATATTGTGACGGTGTAGGTGCCAGTATTCCCTGTAGAGGCCAAGGGGTGTAAAACCCAAGGATCTTCTAATTGACTGATGAGGCATGATATTGATGTTGCTCGTGGTGGGGGCAAAGAATCAAGGAAAGAAGACAAACTCGGAGGCCGTAAAACGCGAGAGAGGGTAGATTCCGCACACATATGAGAAAGGCACTGTCGTGGCATTCTGATAAGTCTCGACTTCCCGTCTGGTTCAGACTGTCATTCTGGAAGTCTCTGAGACGAGCGGTCTTTTCCAAGGAGGCAGGTACGTTGGTCATGGCCTGCCTTTCAAGACAATAGGGTAGACTAAGTAGAAATAGGATGAGAGATGTCTTATTGACGAGCAGCTGTATTAGTCACTAGCTCTACATGGAAAAGTTCGGAAGGTGAGAGGTCTCTGAGAAATGCACTGCAAAAGGAGGTCTCTGGGAGCTCTGGGTGTTAATAATATTGGGTGTTGTGGTAATAGTGGAGTAGTGTCACGTCACGGCCGAATGATTCCCCGTATTACCTCTTACAGATTTCCATGGCGGGATCTTTGGTGGGCTACTGTAAATGCAAAACTGGGCTGACACGTGCCCGAGAAATGGATGGTACAAATCCATCTATCCTGTATATTTTATAACCTCTCTCTCCACTGCCACCCAAGACGCCTTCTGGCGACCAAGGAAGAAAGTAAAAGATTCAAAATGGCGAAATATGGCCATACCACCACTCTAACTGTCGCCTACCTAGGCCCCGAAGCTTCGTTTTCCCACCAAGCAGCCATTGAAGTCTTTCAAAATTCCTCGTCTGGGCATGTCGTCTCTTTACACCCTCTCCCCTCCTTCTCGACTATATTCTCGGCTCTTCAGTCAACCCCGTCATCTGAACAGGCCATATATTATGACTTCGCCGTTGTTCCGATCGAAAACAGCACCAACGGGTCCGTTGTCCAAGTCCTCGACTTGCTGGCTCGGTGCGGCCACTCCCCAACGCTCTACCCTGACTTGGAAGTCTGCGCGGAATACTATCTTCCTGTACATCACTGCTTGTTCGTCTCGCCTCCTTCAGGACCGGTCTCGGCTTCTTCACGGGTCCCAGAACAGTTAGCCGAGGACAATGATAGGTTGATGAGCGCAATCCGGACGCTCTACACTCATCCACAAGTCTGGGGCCAGTGTCACCGTTATTTATCTAAACATTTCCCTCCGAATATCGTAGAGCGGATTGACGTGGGAAGTACCTCTGCCGCTGCTCAGCTGGTGGCCCGCGAATCTCACTCACAGACCCAGACTAGCAAGCCTAAGGCCACCGACGGAATTAGTGCTTCGATCAGCCCGAAACTCGCCGGCCAAAAACATCATCTACTGTGCTTAGCGGAGAATATCGAGGACGAGCCCGGGTCGAACACGACGAGATTCCTTATCGTGCGGAACCGAAAGCATCAAATACAGTCTGAAAGTTTTCACACGTCTTTTTTTCAGCACAGGAACCCTGTTAACGATTTAAGATACAAGTCCCTCATATCGTTCACTATACCCCACTCCCAACCAGGCAGTCTGGCCGACGCACTGGCGGTCTTTAAACGTTACGGTTTTAACCTGACGAGCATTGACACCCGGCCCAGCAGGACGCGGAACTGGCAGTATGTGTTCTTTGTGGAGTGTGAGGAGGCTTGGGACGAGTCACAGGATGGACAGGAAAACAACAGAGGGGAAGCTAATCTCCTGAAGATGCTTGGGGAACTGCGCAAGTTTACTGAGACTTTGAGATATCTGGGGAGGTTCGTGGACCAATTGCCTAGAGGCCAGCAAGAAGACGAAGCAAAAAGGTAGAGGTGATGGAGCGGAACTGAATCGGACTGAAGTAAATCGCATTGAAAACCTTATGAGCAGGTCATGGGAGGGAGTGACTATCTCAAATTTGCTTGCACACAACAAAGCCTGCGTGGCCCAGGTCAGCTACGTGCTGTTGCAGATGCCCGAGGGTCTCTGAATATTAGGCTTCACTCTAGTTGAATAGAGCAAGCAACTCGTTGACGGCTGGCACAACGAAGATGGTGAATGCGAGCGAACCTCAGGTAAGGACTGAACAAGAGTTGAGCTTGATGTTGCAACGAATGACTGGCTCAATCGAATATAGAGTCAACATCGAAGAGTGTTGGGGTTCCCTTGCTATGGGAGTTGGTCAAGAGCTTCTTGGATCTCAGATCCATCCCAGCATTCCCCTTCCGGGGCAAATTCAAGAAGAAATCCTTGCTTGTCTGTCGACATACGCGGCCGTCGATGGCACCGTTTGTAATATTGGGCTTACATCAGATCCAGTCCCTGCATCTCTAGAACTTCATCGAAGTTTTCACGTGCCAGGCATTTAAGAAGATGACAGGGACTTCTCGACCTGAATGCCGGCGTCAATTCAGACCATTACCAAGTTCCGAAGGCTGGAACGTCCTGCGAGCACTCAAAGAGTCAGGAAGATGTTACGTTTTCCACGAGTGGATAGCACAGGATGGCTTACCGTGGCGTAAGTCGAGGGTCTGCCTTGCTGGCGGCTTCATTGCTCGCTCAGCGCGCGTGAAGCCACTGTCTCTGGTGCCTAACTTGTCCAGTCGCGTGAATTGTGGCTTGCCATTGATCTCCGCACCATCTAAATGCGTCCCTTGCTGCTGGGACTGAGTCGCGTCACTAGGACGCCCAGGCGAGCGCGGAGTTGCCGTCAAGCTGCCTTCAACAAAATTGTCTTGTTGTTGAACAAAGCCTGGAGATGGATGCTCCTCGCGCTCTACTGCGAGGTCGTTGAATTGTCAATCATCATAAAATTCGTCTTCGTCGTCACCGTCAACCAACTGTTCAAAGTTGACCTTGTAGCGCAAAATGGCGCCAATACCACCAAATCCCTTCACAAATTGATTACCCTCGCTGGAGCGGTCTGAAACGAACTCCAAGGTGGCGCCAAAGTCCTTATACTTCTCGGCAAGCCATTCAAGAAACGAACCTTGGTCGACAACCTCCATTTCTTGACCAGTATCTTTGTCCATGAACTGTTCGCGGTTGGCTTCTTGAGCCTTGGTGGTGTGCAATATCCTCTCCGAGCCATCCGAGGCCTTCAAAACCCAGCGAGTGACGTCGAGGTTCTCGTAGACAATCAGTGTCTCAGCCGCGCCTAATTCCAGGGCTTTCAAGGTGTCTTCGACACCGTAGCAGACGCGGCCGCTGTCTTGACTGATTTCCTCGAAGTATTTGCCGATCAGTTTCTTCTCTTGAATGAATTTGACATTGCCGAGGGTCTCGGACGCAAGATCGATAGCTTGGTTGAACCCATTTTCACCACCGTAAGAGACATCAACCACCTTGATAACCTTGGATTGAAGACGTGCGTCGAACATGTCGGACTGATTCAAGTCGTTTTTGAAGTCTGCTGATCCAGCAAGGACGAGGCCGGCAACGTTCACTTTGTCGTTTGTGATGAAGTTCTGGACGGCCAACTCTGCAACTTTTCGCACATAGTTATGACGCTTTTCTTCTCTAAGACGAGCGAAACGAAGGGCAGATTGACCACCTCGACCATGCTTCTTGGGAAGATCAACAGAGAATTTGTGGACAACTTCTCTGGTGTTGCCACTCAAGGTCCCAAAGAGGGCGCCGTTGCCATCCATGACGATGAAGCCAAATTTCTGATCAGATTCGAGAAGTTCGCTCAGGGCCTCGGTGTGAAATTTGTTGTCGCAGAGGTAGAGGGAGGTGTTGATAGGCTTGAAAGGCTCAAAGTCTATGTTGATCTTTCTCTCTTTCCCCTCCGAGGTGATAATTTCACCGCAGTACACCACCAAGCCATTTGGGGGGACCTTGGAATACAGCTTCAGGCGCTGCTGGGTGGAAGTGATGGCCGAAAGGACCGAAAGGCGATTGACTCGAGACTTGATGTTAGAGGCGGTACCGAATTCTTCAGCCAACATTTTGGCAGCGCGAGAGACCTGATCCTTAGGTGCTATACACGAGTTAGCAATGAGCCACAAGAACTAGGGTCTTGAGGGGGTGTGAGAGGGGGTGTGACTTACGGATAATAAGGGAGATCATGGAGGTGCCATTACCTCTGGCGGCTTCGAGGCGTTTGATGAGTTTCTTGACCTTCCAAATCTCGATGTTCTTTTCTGCTTCGTTCTGTTGAGGTGCGCTCATTTTTGCGGCGGGGCCCGAGCAGAGACGGCCTGCTGGTAATGGAGGAGGAAGCAGAAGTGCAGGAAGGAAAACGGAGACAAAGGTGAAGGAGAGTGTGGAAATCACAGTCTATGACGATGGAGAAAATCACGGTGGCGCTGAAATGAGTTCGAGACTTTCATGAGGTTTCTTCGTCGAAAGGGTGGTGGGCGGCGGGCTGTGCTGCGCTGGCACTAATTAGGCATTGCTACCACAACTCCCAACCGCTGCGGGTGCAGTTTGGGATTCTTCCAGGCGCTGCGAGTCAAGGCCGGCGCAATCAGCCGAGCGAGTCACGTGGATGCGCTCTCCCTTTTTCGTTATCGAGCAGAAAACTTCCCCCGCCGCCACCAAGCTGCAAATCTGCTCCACTTTGCCCACTCGACTATCACAACCAGCTTCCTTGGGTTTCGCCACTGCTGGTTATCGTCGGTTAACAATGATTGTTTCCATGATCTATTACCACTAGCTCATGATTCCGAGTAGAGTTCATATCCCTCGAGGTCCAAGGAAAATTTCCCTTTCTCTTTGGTTCAAATATTCCCTTGCTTGATGAATTCATTGTACTATTATCTGAGCCTGGGAGGTCTTGTGGATTGTTTGTCTGTTTACTGTGTATCTCCAGTATCTCTCTAGCTTCTCCAGACATGTTTTGACTCGACAGATTTGTTAATCCAGACCCTTAACGTCATCTCTGTCGCCTCTCAATCTCCTTGCCTTTGCCCACCATGAGCGCGAAAGCCAGACAGCATCCTACAAGTTGGGACGCCTACGAGCGTGGTCGTGCATCCTCATTCGGTTCCCTCGAGTCTGTGCCTGAAGATGAGCAGCAAAACACCCTCTCCTCGTCTACCCCCGCCGTACATTATATCCCTCCAATGCATGCGGAAGGTGAAGAGCACGGCGGCTTGCGGCGGAGATCTTCTTTTGGCAAGAGAATTGACAACTTCATGCAGATGGGTGGACCCAACAGTATCGACAGATTTGCAAGGTCGTTCCAAAGAGCTGCTGGATTTCGTGAGATTACACCAGTGCGGAGGAACTCGGTCAGCCTCTCAGAACCAGATCAGGAGGCTGCTCTGGTGACTGCAGCTAGTCCTGAACAGAGCACAGCAGCCCCGAACAGATCCCTTCTGAGACAGCAGCTTCAAGACTACGATTTTGGGGGGCAGAGTGATTCTGCCGTGTACGATGAGCATGCTCCGGGCAACCAGGAGCCGACCGAAGAATCAGCTCTCCTACCTGTTGAGAGTCGGCAAACGTTCAAATCCACTACAGGCTCTCTCGTCTCAGGGTCGTTGCTCCCGCATGAGCTGGGAACAAGCTATGGAAGTATCTCCTCCAAGTTGACAGCGTCTGCTAGGCACCGAGCATCTATCCTTATTATGGAACAGGAAGAAGCTAGCAGGCGAGCACGGGAAGAACCTGAGGCATTCAAGGAAGAACCTCATCGACACCTTGAACGGGAGATTCTACCTGACGGTGAGGTCATGGAGCGGATAGTAGGCGAGTCAACCGTTCCCATGACCGTCTTCAACTCGACGAATGTCTTGATAGGGGTTGGTATTCTGGCTCTCCCGCTAGGTATCAGATACTCTGGATGGGTGATCGGTCTCTCGTTCTTGACTCTTGCGGCCATCGGTACCTCGTACACGGCTACACTGTTAGCCAAATGCCTGGACTCAAACACCGGCTCAACTACTTACGGAGACATCGCTTATTTGGCGTTTGATACTTGGGGCAGACACTTTGTTGAAGCATTGTTCATCTTGGAGTTGACAGCCGCAAATGTCGCCCTGATCATTCTGTTTGCTGACAGCATGAATTCTCTGGTACCTGCTTTCTCTGTGACCGAATGGAAGGTTCTTATTGCAATTGGCCTGATTCCATTGAACTTTGTTCCATTCAAAACCCTGAGTGTCACCAGCGTCATCGGCATTTTCTGCTGTCTTGGCATCATCATCATTGTCTTTGCTGATGGCCTCATCCAACCTCGGGCTCCTGGTTCCCTGAGGGATGTGGCCAAAACATATGCCTTCCCCGAAGACTGGAGAACTGTTCCGCTCAGTCTGGGTTTGTTCATGGCGCCATGGGGAGGTCACAGCGTCTTCCCGGCGATATACAAGGACATGCGACATCCATATAAATACGGGCGCGCTTTGAAGTACACCTACTTCTTCACCTACGGCCTCGACCTATCTATGGCTGTGCTCGGTTACCTCATGTTTGGCGACAAGGTGCGGGACGAAGTGACCTCTAACATCCTTCGTTCGACCGCTTACCCTCACGTCCTATCTGTCATCATTGTCGTTCTTATCGCGATCATCCCCATTACCAAGATCCCGCTTTCAAACCGGCCCGTAATGGACACGCTCAACAAAAAGTTTTACATCGACCTTCGCCAGATGGATCCTAAGGCGCGTGCATACAGTGAACGGTCACTCAAGCACCGTGCTGCACGGGGTCTCATCGGTATCATGGCCAACTTTATCCAACTCGGCATCGCTATTGGATTTCCCGACTTTGACAGCATTATGGCCCTCATGGGTTCGGCTTTGTGTTTTACCATTTGCATCATACTGCCTGTCAGCTTTTATCTGGTGATTTTCAGCTCCGAGGGCAAAGAGATCGGGTTAGCGGAGAAGATCCTTGATTGGGTTTTACTGGTTGTTTGTATTTCCCTGGCGGTGTTGGGGACTGTGTTTGCTATTCTGCCCAAGAAAAAGATAGGGGCTTCGGTTTGATTTTGGGGCCTGTAGAAGAGATGATGTTGAAGGGATGGAAGAGAAAAACCACATGGAGCCCAGACAGATTCTCACGCCATGGGAGGGTCTCATCAGACGATCGATAATAATACACATACATAAAGGTGGGAGCATATCCTCCGCTCTCAAATTCTGTTTCCAAGGAGCCGCTTGACCTCTAGCTTTCCTCTGTGCTAATGAAGCATGCCTTCGGAATACAAAGTAACGAGATTCTCGCCCCAAATTTTGCCAACGCACGGGGCTGCGGGATCAAACAACAACTTGCAGCCTTTTAAAGAAAGAATCAACCAACACCACGCTTTACATATTGTGGTGTCACTTTGACTTTGGATTCGACTTGGACTGTGCCCCGGAGACCACGAACCCGCCGGGATTCTGCCTCAAGAACTCGACTTCTTCAGGCGTGCTCTCCCTGCGCAGCGCCACGTTCCGACTGGGGAACCTCCCGAACCGCAAAATGACGTCGCGGTGCGCCTTTGCGAATTTGCAGGAAGCCTGCACGAACTTGGCCGCCTCCTCAGCTGCGGGAGACACGGGAAGCGAAGCCAACGGGGAAGAAGAGCCCGCGAGGCACCGGGCGGCCAGATTTTCGAACAAAGAAATTCCAGCGACCTGGTGGACTAGGGTCTCGGCGTGCATCAGCGGCATGTAGAAGAACATGGCCATGAGGGCAGTCACTTCGGGCGAGCGGTCGAATTCACGCGCGATCGACATCATGGCCAGCTCCTGTGCCTTTGCGTCCGAGGAGTACGAGAGGCCTGAGCCGCGGTATATGTTCCGGGGAAATTGGTCGAGTAGGACGATCAGGGCCAGGGAGCCGAGCGGAGTCGAGGACCAGGAGTCGAGAGAGTCGTTGCGTGCCTGGTCAATGAGGGACGAGAACTGGGTGCGAATCTCGGCGTCGACGACTTCGGGATTGGGCGGCCGGAACCATTTCTCTGTTGGATTGCTGTCGAGTGACGGAGGGGGGAACCAGTAGTCGAGGACCCGAGCGATTTCGCCTTGGTGTTCCATAGAGATTTGGGGCGTTGCTGGCTTTGAAGATGTCGTGTTGGTGGAATAGAACAAGGGCGAGATCATCCCTTGCACTGCGCTTTGCAGCTGAAAGACCTTTATTGACGAACAATTGCGACGGCTTAGTATATGTATATGTCTCTGCGAAACAGCGAGTGGGCGAACATAGGAGTTTTGTGGAGGATGGGCTTGTGGATGCAGGTTTAGAACAACTGGGTGACGGCGTACCCTTGCAAAGACCTGATCCAGGGCGGCCTTCATTCTATTCCCCAGACCGAGTCCTTGATGAAGGGAGAAAACGGAGGGTTTCGAACTGGCGGGTGGTATGTCCTTTGGATTTCTAAGCAGTTTCGATGCTTGATCCTGAGCCCTGTCCCGACTTCGAATGGGTGAAGTCGTAGATGGAGCTTGAGACACTGAGACACGTTGGAGATCGGGACGTTGCGTGTCCGACATCCGAGTCGCGGATGCGGCCCCATCACGCTTTGGATGCCGAAACAAGGCTGACCAATCGAAACTCAAGATGCATCATCACAGTGACGCAAGAAGGCTGTCCACGTGACATTCATGGGTGTGTATAGTTCCGTAGAGATGTAGAGACGCTATTTGAAGGTTGAAGAGCGGGTATATATCTTCTCAAGAGTCTACATCGAAAGAAGATAGACGGGCTAGTTGACTTCGCATGAGGGCGGAGTAGCCAGGGAAGCTGTTCTTTTCAGATGGCTGATGGCAACGTCATTCATACTTTTCTAAGATACAGTTTCAACCCCCCGGATCCATGTCCAAGTGTATACGACTATCAGGCTCCGGGCCGATGGAGTCACAGTCTGACCAATTTCAGGCAAACACGGTGCTCTTCCCAGCTTGAGACCAGAAAGTTTTGGAGTAATCTATCCAAGAATGTGCAAGCTGCGGTAGCGATCGTGTAAAAGGCCACAAAGCCCCTGTTCCCCCAAACGTAATAGTCAACACAGAATTAGCATAACTCCACGCTCTGCGGTATCTAATATAAAAACCTCCAACAACTTTTCTCTGAGCAAGCCAGACCGTACACCTTTGGCGGTTACATATACACGCCAGACTATTTCTTCGATCACAGGTTGACGTCATGAAGCCAGACCTGTTGCTCGACTCGATGGGAGAATCGACTGGCAGCCAGGATCTCAACCATCTGCTGCTCACTAACAATCAGCTCCTGCTTGGGGAGGAACCATCGCAAACCCTCGCTACAAGGCGGCGTGGTTAAGCTGCCCTTGTAAGTCCAAAACTCTTCGACACCGCCGACCTCATCGATAGCAAGACGCATATTGACGGGCAAGCCCTCGAGCTGCGCCGTGTCATTGTAATGGATCATCGGACCAAGCTGCTTGAAAAATGCGGATTCCCTATCACCCACGGCTACCCGAATGCCAATGACAGCAGCTTCGTGCTCTTCCTCGGTGACATGAACGAGATGGATTTCCGCACGGCTCCGCTTGCCCGCGATCAGGTGTTCGGAAGGGGCGTGGATGTGCCATCCAATCATGTAAACCTCCTGGTCATCGAATTTCATGCTAGGGAGTGCGGTGACCACTCCTTCCGGGTGATGAGGTGTCCAGGCTGGCGCGAATTCCCAGTTGAAGAAGTTGCCTGGAATAGTGATATCCTTTGCGTACCCCTCAAAGGTAGGCTTGTGATGTTGAGAAAGTTCCTTTTCGACAATGTTGATGGGCGATTGATGTGTGCCAGATTGACACAGGTGGTATTCTGCAAGAGCGTCAGCAAGGCTGGGGGAGGAAGGGGTGGGGGGTAAGTCCGAGTTTACCAGGCTTGATTGTAGCCCAGTCGAAAGAAAGAGCATAGTTCCAGTCTTTTGGCACCCGGCCTTTGTCGACTCGGACTTGTCTTCGACCCAGATGAGGATGTGAATGATAATTGTCATGCTCGGGACAGCTCCAGGCTGTTGAAAAGAGAGCAGAAAGAAAGAAAATAGAAGAAAGCATAGCGGGAGCCAACGCTCTAAATCAAATAAGCGATACGAAATGATCAGTGGCGCCAAAAAGAATAAAGGGAACGGCTTGTAATCCAAATAGTGATAGAGGCGCTGGTAAAGGAAAAACTCGACGGATGCGAGGGAGTGTGGTGGTCTGATGAGCATCTCAATGTGGGGAAAGGCATTCTCTTTTATGTGGCCATAGATGTGAGCAAATGTGAGGAGCCCATCTTTTCAGAGCCGAGTTGCTGAAGACATAGGGAGGTGCCAAGTAATTACTTGTTCCAGCAGCGGACTGCTTCAGCTTCGCTGAAACACATGGCGAGATACTGGACGCAGCGCCGCGCTTGGTACGGAGTACCTCGTAAATATGCATCCTTTCCAGCCAACGCAACAATAATGGTGGTTCAGCTGTTTGGTGCGAGTAAGGCGCGCTGCACCGCAAATTCCCCAAGCCTTTCAGGTTATTTTGGGGCTCTCACAGCCAGCGTGGACGGAGAACTTCGGACAGGCTCCCCTACTGGTGAGATAAGATCAGCAATGGCAATGCATGACAAGCACCGCAAGCATAGCAAAGATCGTGAAAGCATGTGGCCAGCCTCGGCGCCAAGCCATATCAGACAGCCAAGTCGACCGGAACCCTCCGCTGGGCCGAAAAAAGTAAAGCGCAGCTCTGAAAAATGATCTCCGAACCACTCGTTGCTTTTCAGGGGAGGACGCGTGGCTTTTTGGCTGCTGCGGATGATCCGCAGCTGGCGGAAACAGGACAACCAAGAATCTCCAAGAAAGGGCTAAGTGACGAATGCTAAAACGAGCTCTACCCCGTGAGAAAAGCTGAAAGGCCTAGGCTCTCGACACGGCGGTGTATGGCCCATCCCTGGTTGCCCAGCTTTCCTCTCCGTGTGATTTCAGCTGCCATCTGACAAAGATGAGGCAAACGCAAAAGCAGGAGGTGCTGGGCGGTTAAACCTCCAGGAGCTTCCGCGGAAATTCAGTCTCCCATGTGAGAAATTGACATCTGTTTGGTTCGAGCGTAACAGGTCGGAGTTCAGCAGTGAGCACCGGTTCGAAAGAGTTTTCAAAGAAACGGCGGGTCTCCGGATTTCGAGTCTTCCGGATTGGCAGTAATAGATTGCAAATTCTGACCATTGTTGAAGATATCATGTCGATCGCTCGATCGTCCTGTTCATTGAATGGACTGGCTGTAGGAAAGACGGGCCTGTTTGGGAAAAGGCGTCGCCGCTAACAAGAAGCGTTGCCCATTCGGTGTAACTAATGATGAGGGTAATATCGCTAGATCCTTAGAGGCATACTGGTATGGGGTTACCTTCCCCCGTACCAGGTACCTATATGTGTCTTGCTCGTCCATATTTTTCCTTGGAGGTTTACATCTAGGCATTAACCAGCCTTGTTCAGTGTCTAGTTTTGTTGCCTTTTTAGGTCTGCCAACAGCATTCAGCTCTTGAGGAATTCGAAGTATCTGACAGGAAGATCCAGGAGCTCCCGGACGCTAGCGAGCGCGATCAGCGTTGCATTAGGGCGTACCTCGTACTACTAGATGGCTTTACGCAGATCGGTTTGCGGGCATTTATGGCGTTAATTTTCCGTTTATCTTGATCGATCAGGTCAATGAAGGCGGAATAACTAGGCCGTCATCACCTTGCCGGCGCTCAGAAAGCTTCAAAGTCGGTGAGCAAGAGTAACAGACAGCTGTACCGACGAGGTTGTGGGCTTTACTTCGTGGCTGTAAGACGTTCAGTATTGGGGGAGCTTTGCCCACAGCACGCACAATGCTTCGAGTTCAGCCTCGTCCGTAAATGATCTTGACTTTACTGGGTATGACGGCAGATACGAGGTACAAAAGCTGGCACAACGTGCCTCAACCGAAGGCGCCAACTGCACCGATGGGGAACATCACTCATTGGGTGAATTGGATCATGATCATTGAAAAGCTGCCTAGCGCATAGCGCACAGCTCATTGGAACAGCGGGCGTACGCGTAGAATTCGCCTTTCTTTCGGAAGTCTGAAGGCAGCATGCTAGACACATTACTTACCTATCCATACTATCTCCAGTCCTCGTTCATGTTATCAAAGTTGCGTTACTCGTTAATCCAGTAACATTCTTTGCATTCACGCAAGTTGCATTGGCAGTCGCATTGGTAGCCGAATCAGTCAAATGCACATTTTTAAAATCGATATTCGAACAAGGTGCCGCTGCTGAACAATTCAAGGCAACTCCAACTTTGCTGCTAACGGTACCTGAGACGTCAGAGAACAGCAGATTCTCAAATTCGAGAGTGCTGGTATCGCAGGAGAAAGCCTGATCAGGTACTTTGAAGTAGCACTTGTTGATGTAGACAGCTTGGCTCGTGTTGTGAGTCGTCAGTCCCGCGAAAGTCACATTGGAGACTTTTCCTGTACCGCCGCCGCCACCCTGTGGAGGTTCTCCCTCTTCTTTGCCTACCCAAGATTTGAAGTAAGCTCCACCAGATACTGCAGCTCCCCCAGTGCGCGAATTAATGTCTTGGAGACTGAGATATTTGTGGCCGTCACGTTGAAAATATAGTCCGGCGAGTCAACGTATTGGCAAATTGATCCGAACGCGATTCCACCTCCGGCACAAGTCATATTGTTGATGACCATGTTGGTCGTATTCCCTTTCGGGGCCAGACAATCATCTCCGCCGTGGAATTGCCAATCTCTTACCAGAAGGTGATCGACTCGCAATGAATCGAGGCCATCAATGTTCGTTTCGTAGTTGGAAGAATTTCCGTAGGGATCCGTGTTGGTACCATTGATATACACCTTGCTGATTTCGACGTTGTATGAGTCTTGAATCCAGAAACTCCAGAACATTGGCTGTCGAATGGAAAAGTTGGTCACAATCACATTGGAGGAGTTGAAGATTGAAATGACAATTGGACGACCAAATTGGTTACTATGCCCCGCTGCATGGGTCATCCATGCCTGTCCATTGCCATTGACACCGCCCTGCATCCAGCCGTCTCCATTGATTTCGAAGTTGTTGCCTTCAACAATCCACCCTGTTGACTGGTTCTGAACTCAACACGGAAGGAATTGTCAATCCAGTAAGTCAAGTCCGGTGTGAATGAGAGGGTACCAAAAATTTCCAAGCGCGCATTCTGGAGGTTCATGTGCATCCGCCTTGAAATCGTATAGACATATAGAGCCGGTAGTGTAATGGTCCCATTGATTCCGCATTTTTGGACAGCGGCAAGAATCTGGGATGAGTCGTCCCGGTCCCGGCCCAAAGGTGTCACAATACACTTGAGTCCGTTTGGAGACGGGGTGTATGGAAACGCAGCCTGAAAGGAGCCTGTCCTAAGTACGGATACGAAACATTCTTGTGGTAGGGAAGCGTTGTTTGAGGGGAATATACCGAAGTGGTGGCCGCCTGACGGAAGTATACGGTTGATGAACCATTGCTTGACGGCGAGCTCTTAGCGAAGGAGGACGACACATATCCCAGTGCGCACAGGAGAGTTAATGCCGTTGTGAGCATGGTGTTGAGAGATTGCGATCTCTCCACGAGTCATTCGGAAGCCCGGTATTTTCTTGCTCGTTTTCCAGATGTGTAGCTTACCTGAGTTTGTGGGGACTCTACCACTATACATATATTCTCATTTTCATGGAGGTTATGGCACGGCGTGGGAACTTGCTTCGGACGACAATGCTAGGAACTCAAGGGAAAGATAAGGTTCGATCCTTCTTGACCAGACGAATCCAGGAGACATTGGCAGCACACGTGCAATGGAAGCGAAGGTAGATCATTATGTGGGCAATGTGGTATGCTTCATTGATGAGAAAGACACCATGCCAACTGTCAAAGGCACCAGCTGACTGCATGTCTGCCCGACCCGTTATGTATGCGAGCCCATAAGAAGCTTGACAGAGAGCTCGAGGGGGATGAGTGAGGGAGCCGAGGTCATGCAGGTGAAGAAATTGTTGTCCTTCAAGGCGGCATGACATTCCTCCCTATCTCGGCACCCAGTGTGTGAGGTCCATACAGGTTATGTAGCGAGAGTAGGTACTGTACTCCCGCTCGCTCCTCATACAGTGCTAGCAAGAAAGCGGCACCACAACCATTCCTAATTAGGCACAGCTTGGCAGCCTCCGAAACCGCTTGTCTGCAAGGTGTTCTCGCCCTCCAGCAGCTGCGCTGATCCAATTTTTTTTATTGTTGCAGAGCTCACCCTTGCATCGTCGTGACTCATATTTCAATTGATGCAACAAAACCATTCGCATTGTCCTTGATGAGGTAGTGCTTGCTTGTCTGTGCACTGCGGCCTTCTCTCGCCGCCATCATGGCAGGCAGACGCAACTACCTATCTCTGGCCTGTAGAGCCATTGTCCAATCTCCCCGAGCGCAAACTGGGACCTCCTTTCTTAATTCTATCCTCCCCTCGTCGAGGCGAACCAAAAGTACGAATTCAACTTCAGCTCTAGCGTACAAGGCTCTTCACAGGAGGTCACCTCTTCCTCTCCCAGTATCAGACACCTCCCCCCAATATGGCGCGGCAGCAGCTGTTTCCTCCATCCTCTACGAAACCCCGGTGGCCCCCCAAGCACCTCCCAAGAAACACATCCTGAACTGTCTGGTACAGAACGAGCCCGGTGTCTTGTCTCGTGTGTCTGGCATCCTAGCGGCCAGAGGATTTAACATTGACTCCCTGGTCGTGTGTAATACGGAGGTAGAGGACCTGAGTCGAATGACCATCGTGCTGCAAGGTCAGGATGGCGTGGTTGAGCAAGCTCGGAGGCAGTTAGAGGACCTGGTACCTGTTTGGGCTGTGCTCGATTATACATCTGCCGCTTTGGTACAGCGCGAGTTGCTGCTAGCCAAAGTTTCTATTTTGGGCCCCGAGGTGTACGAGGAATTGATGGAGCACCATCGCGAGATGACGAGTCCCGAGTCGGACCAAGGGCCAGTAGATGTGGAAAGTGCCGAGGAGGATGCAGACAAGAGGTTGCAGGAGTTGGAAGCAAACAAGCCTGAAGAATCAACTCTCGTTCAACGAGCCAAAGACATGCTTGGTCAAGGTGCCAGCTACCATCCAAGCCGTCTGGCTGCCAGTCAGGCTTTGCGGCATAAACATGAGCATCTCGAGGCCATCACCCATTTGACTCACCAGTTTGGTGGAAAGGTTCTAGATATCAGCACCAACAACTGTATTGTGGAACTGTCAGTGTCTTCCCTGACTTTGCTGGCTATCTGAAGTGCTAACGTGGGAACAGCTCTGCGAAACCGAGCCGAATCGACTCCTTCATGAAACTGATTTCTCCGTTCGGCATTCTCGAATCAACTAGGACGGGATTAATGGCACTCCCTCGATCACCACTCTATGATCCAAATGACGAGCACGTGCGGGAGGCTGATGATGTGGTTGACGCCAGCACTCTTCCTCCCGGCTAGTCATCGATGTTACCATTTTGGAATAGCGTCGGGCGCCCCTTACATGAGGCTGATTTCCTGGGTTTGGAGTTGGTTGGCTGTCCATCACATACGGTTGATCATGTAAATTTGGCATTTTGACCCATGAATGCCACGGCCAAAAACATGGTAGAATCGATACCATGCAGTGATTATGGTTCGAGGCATCCAATGCCAGTCTCCAAAGCTACACTCGTTGTCTGGGCCAGTATTTTCGCTATCTTATGGAATACCCTCTCGTGATGTGGCGGGGTCTAGGCCCTTACAACCTCGTATCCAGTGCTTTTTACTTGGTACATTGAGCTGGTTTGGTTGGGTATAACAGGTCTTCGGCTTGACACCTGCCCCAGCACAATGAACCAATTTTCCCATCGGCCCTTATGCTTGTTCTATATTCGTATTTAGCCAGCAAAGTCCAGGTAGCCACGACAACACCTGACATGGCTGGTGGCCAGCCCGAGAACCTTCCCGATTCACCGCTACATGTGAATCTCAAACAGTCCCATCGCATTCTAAGAGGCGCATGACGCGTCAGAAAGCCAGAGAGGTAACCATTCATGCTGCGGATGCGGAAGACGACCGAGATTTCCTGTACAAACGTCCGGAAACGGTCTCAAGCTGTGGATCTCATGAGGACAGACCGAATCACGCCACGGGATCGTCCATCCTGTGAGACACTCGACTCATCAATTGCCGTACGTACTCCGTACTCGTGCACATAACCATGCAATCACTGACTATTAACGCACACCCAGCAAGGACAGGTATGAGATGGAGAAGAGAAGTGATATATTTGCCCACCGACAGTCGCTGCGTCAAACCCCTGAGCAGTTCACCGCTGTTGCTGTTGAAGACAACAGTCCTTCTAGAGTAAACTCGGATCGTCATTTCTCGAACTGGCCTTACAATTGCTGTTATTTCGTACCTGAGCTCATGAACGCCGAAGGCGCAATCTCCCTACTCAATAGTGACGCTGAATTTTACCCTGCCGACTGCAACACGCTAGAACGTTTGAAAGTCGTTGATTCGACGGAGACCGGAACATCTTCTTTTGACCTGTCTCCTTTGGAGAGTGAATTTGACGACCTTCTCCAGCTGTTTGACCTCAACCACGGCAGTACACGAATCCTCTTCATTTCCCAAAAACGGCGGTGTCCCAAGAACCGCACCACCAATATGTATGGGCTCAAACATTCAACGTGGTTCACCATCTTGTCCTCGTGCGACATACCTCCAGATGCAGTCCAACTGATCCACGAGAACAACGGCTGCTGGGGAGCCCACACATCATACTGTTCCGATGTCAGAAGCAAGACTTGTCCGGTCAAGAGCCCAGATGACTCGATCGGGGAGACGCTAAGTGCCTACCATATACGGTTGAAGCCACGACCTTGGTGGAACGAAGAGCATTTCGTCTATGCTCGTCATTGCTTTCACTCAAGGAAGAAGCTTTTACTCGTCGTGGGCACTTCTCTTGAAGCGCAACAGCAGCGTCTCTTGTCACAATTTCATTCTGCAACGGAACCGCAGTTTTCCGTCCTGCTTGCCCTTACAACCACATGGACGAAAGATCTCAAAGAGAATTTCGTGGGAGCAAGACTTTGACATCCAGCGGCTTGAGTCGGACACTGGGTGGTCCACCGTAGGGCACACACAGCTAAAACCTTTGCCGATCGACAAGCTTGCCCTCCGGAAAGACATGGTATTTACCAAAGACGCGTCATCCCATGTCGTCCGCGCATCAGAATCCTTGAGCGAGCTCTTCATCTTGTCAAAAGAGGTACACAAAATACCTTCCGACGGCAACAATGTCAACCTCCGTCCCAACCAACTCAAGGACGCCTTCCTGCAACAGTGCTCCAAATAGTGCCACCAAAAGTACCAAGCTCAAGGTCTCATTGGCCGCAATGATACTCAATGGAACGTTGTCAGTGCACTCATGGCTCAGCACACTAACAGTCTAAACTTTCGAATTACGAGAGATTCGAGGGTCGACACCATTATCATGCGGCGGATCTCCTTTGTGATAATAGCTTTTCTTCCTGCAACCTTTCTAGCAACTTTCTTCAGCATGTCGTTCTTCACCTCGGGGGACATCACTGCAAATCCCACGATCTGGATCTACGTCGTGTGTGTAATTCCCCTGACCTTGGCGATTGCCCGGCAGTCGAGTGCCTGGCGTTGGTCCGCGGTACGGTGGTTGTTGTCAAAATTACAGAAGAAGGCGCCTAAGAGAAGTGATTTCTCGAGCGCCAAGGAGAGGAAATCCAGATGGCACGAAAGTCTCAGCGTATGGCTCAACAGGCACCGATTGTTTGCAGTCACCGAAATTGGTGGCTAGGCCGTAGCCTCATTTATTCCTTGTTAGGTCGGTTTCAAAGGGTAATGTACTGTGAAGGTCATAGGGTTTGGTTCAGGTCTTCTGAAGGGAAATTGACAATTGACTGTCATGCACAACTAAGCGAGACGTAATGCGTAAAAGCGGCGTCACTGTCGTCGTCGGTAACAGTGGGCAAGCAGTGGGGTCGATGGAGTCAAGCGCCCGCATCATACGGAAGGCCCTCCGTACCAGGTACACAACGTCGTCATGACTTGCAAGATTTGTCCTTGCAGCCTCGCTACATATATCGGAGAATAACCCCAAAACACAATCTCCTTCTTTTTCCCTAGCTTCATTTGAACAGGCATGGCGTCTTATCTGGCAGATCTGCCTTCGCTAGGCGAGTTCTTCCCCCCTACACCTCGAGCGGCCAAGTTGTCCCTCGATATCTTCAGACTATACATACCCGTAAGTGACTCAAGCTCATCCCAAGTGTTTTGCGTGCTTGTTTGAGAGTGAGTATCTTGGAGACCTGATCGAAGAAGGCTCTAAGAAATGACGATTTCTTGCTGATGAGACCTCATGTTTCCAGGTCTCGCTGGTGCTATGGACACCCTTGAAAAAGCTACAGGCAATGGGCAAGACCTCGTCCAAATCTCACCTGAGTCTCCCTGGTCGTTATGCGTGGGCGGCGGCGGAATTGGTTGGGCCGATTAACCTGCTCTACATCCTTTTCACTCTGCCATCAAAACTCAGACCCCAGCCCGAAGCTGCAACCAGCTTCCTGGGTACGGGCTTGCCTGCCCAGAACGAGTTATTGGCGTGCTTGTATCTCCTTCATTACGTCAACCGTGCCATTGTTAGTCCGCTGTATCTGAATCCGAGCATGTCACCAATCCATCCATTCGTTACAGCGTTCATGAGCGTCTTCCAATACACAAACTCGACCAACATTGCCTGCTGGCTTGTGTACTCGACACTCACCGCCAACACGGAGAGTCGGGCCCTAATCTCTTTCGGTTCATTCATAGGGGTCTCGATCTTTCTGCTGGGACTGACGGGCAACATCTGGACAGAGACGACGCTCTATGATTTACGACGGGGAGCTGCGAGGAGGAAATCAAAGTCAGAGGGTAAAGCGACAATTACTTACGACAAGGTGTATGTGATCCCACCAGCTGAGGGAGCGTTCAAGTATATCTTACACCCGCATTACGTCCTGGAGTGGCTTGAATGGACGGGGTACTGGATCCTGGGAGGAGTATGGGGACTGGGATGGGGAGGCCAGAGTCCGGCCTTGTGGTTTGTCATTTGCGAAATAGTGACGATGCTTCCTCGCGCAGTTACCGTCCGTCAGTGGTATGAGGAGAAGTTTGGCAAGCGCGCTGTTGGAGGGCGAGCGGGAGCAATCCCTGGACCGATCAGACTGTGATGAGCAAATCTCATACTAAATCAACAGGCTGCAAGCCAACTGGGATTTCCTCGGGAAACGCATACAACCACCGAGTATACTCTGGGCAATCTGGGGTACTCGTAGATGGCGTGATTGATGATTGATGAGCTTGTTCGGATGTGGTAGGAACGCACAGCAAAGGGGAAAAAGGCGTAAAGCCATATTCGGGTCTCACTGGTCTCACTCACACGGCGACTTTTCGTAGTCATGCAGGCGAGCGAACCTCGGAGCCCATGGCAGCCAACCGACCAGCACAAGCATCCCACTAAAAAAAAAGTGTCCTTTGGCCTTCTCGTGTCACTAGTCACCGCAAGCAGCACGTTTGATTTTTTCCTCATACACCCCCTCGGCCCTGACCCTTTCTCACCGCTCTCATCTTCTCATCTTCTCACTTTTCTCTTGTCGTCCTGGTCTTCCCATCTCTGTCGTCTGCCTCTCTGTCCATCCCGAGGACGTACTGGAAGGCTGCTGTCCGGACCTCCTTCACATCTATTCCAAGTTTCCTAAGGGCAGTTGCGAAGATGGTTCAATCGTAAGTTGAGCAATGAGACCACCCTACCTTCCAGCTGCTGATCTTGTACCAGCTCGATCCTCGGTTTCCCGCGTATGGGAGTCAACCGTGACCTCAAAAAAGCCACCGAAGCATACTGGGCTGGCAAGATCTCGCAGGATGAGCTCCTTGCAGAGGGGAAGAGATTGAGACTGGAACACTGGAAAATCCAGAAAGATGCTGGCATCGACATCATTCCAAGCAATGACTTCGCTTTCTACGACCAGGTCCTGGACCACATTGAGCTCTTTGGTGTGGTTCCAGAACGGTACACAAAATACAACCTGGCTCCCCTGGACGAGTACTTCGCCATGGGTCGAGGACTACAGAGGCCTGCCACCGATAGCTCCCCTGCTGTCGATGTGCCTTCTTTGGTAAGCAAATCCCTACTTTTCCATAATTGTGTACTAATCTGTGCAGGAAATGGTCAAATGGTTTGACTCAAACTACCATTACGTCAAGCCAACTCTCCAAGATAACCAGAGCTTCAAGCTCGCCTCAAACCCCAAACCTGTGGTCGAGTTCCTCGAGGCCAAAGAAGCCGGCATCACCACACGCCCTGTCCTTCTCGGGCCTGTTTCCTTTCTCTATCTCGGCAAAGCCGACCGCAGTCAATCTATTGAACCCATCTCGGCCCTCGACAAACTTCTTCCTCTCTATGGGGACCTGCTCAAACAGTTGAAAGATGCTGGTGCCGAGACTGTGCAGATTGACGAACCCATTTTGGTCTTTGATTTGCCTCCGCACGTTAAGGAGGCCTTCAAGCCGGCCTACGAGAAGCTCGGTGGACTTGGGAGCAATGCCCCCAAGATCGTTCTTGCGACCTATTTTGGCGACATCGTCCACAACATCGAAGTTCTCAGCTACCTGAAGGGGCTTTATGCTATCCACATTGATCTCGTACGTAATCCAGAGCAGTTCGAAACCGTTGCGTCTGCGTTGGGCCCTCAACAGGTCCTGTCAGCGGGCGTCGTCGACGGTCGAAATATCTGGAAAACCAACTTCAAGAATGCCATCGAGCTCGTTGAGACCGCCATTCAAAAACTAGGCAAAGACAGAGTCATTGTTGCAAGCTCCAGCTCTCTTCTCCACACTCCTCACACTCTGGCCAGCGAGAAAAGTTTGGACCCTGAGATTGCCGACTGGTTCAGCTTTGCTTGCGAGAAAGCGAAAGAGCTGGCAATTATTGCAAAGGCCGTGACGGATGGCCCCGCTTCCGTCCGAGAAGCTCTCGAAGCCAACGCAAAGTCGATGCAAGCTCGTGCTTCTTCAAGCCGAACCAACGATCAAGCGGTCAAGGAGCGGCAGCGCAAGATCACCTCAGATATGTACAACCGCAAGTCACCATTCCCTGTTCGAATTGTTCAACAGCAGAAGCGTCTTCACCTGCCTTTGTTCCCGACTACCACCATTGGATCTTTCCCTCAGACGAAGGAAATCCGTATCCAACGCAACAAGTTCACTAAAGGCGAGATCACTGCAGCGGATTATGAGAAGTTCATCGAGAAAGAGATCCGCGATGTCGTCAAGATCCAGGACGAATTGGGCCTCGATGTCTACGTTCACGGCGAGCCCGAACGTAACGACATGGTCCAATACTTCGGCGAGCGACTGAAGGGATACGCTTTCACGACCAATGGCTGGGTTCAGTCCTACGGCTCCCGATGTGTCCGACCACCCATCGTCGTCGGTGACATCTCTCGGCCTGCTCCCATGACGGTCAAAGAATCCAAATTCGCTGCTTCTATTTCTAGCAAGCCGATGAAGGGTATGCTCACAGGTCCCATCACCTGTTTGAGATGGTCGTTCCCCCGTGACGATGTTCACCAATCTGTTCAAGCTGAACAACTGGCTCTGTCTCTCCGTGATGAGGTCCTTGACCTCGAAAAGGCGGGTGTCTATGTCATTCAGGTCGATGAACCTGCTCTGCGTGAAGGTCTCCCGCTCCGCGCGGGCAAGGAACGAACTGACTACTTGAAGTGGGCTGTGGATTCATTCCGTCTCGCAACTGCGGGTGTTGAGGACGCCACTCAAATCCACAGCCACTTCTGCTATTCTGAATTCCAGGATTTCTTCTATGCTATTGCAGCCCTGGATGCTGATGTTCTCTCGATCGAGAACAGCAAGTCTGACGCTAAGCTTCTCAAGGTTTTCGTTGATGAGGCCTATCCGCGTCACATTGGACCTGGTGTCTATGACATTCATTCTCCTCGTGTTCCTTCCGAGAAGGAAATCCACGACCGGATTGCAGAGATGTTGCAGTACTTGAAGCCGGAGCAACTGTGGATTGATCCTGACTGCGGTCTCAAGACTCGACAGTGGAAAGAAACTAAGGCTGCGTTAACCAACATGGTCAACGCGGCAAAGAGCTTCCGTGCTCAGTACGCCAAGGGCAATTAATCACCAAGTAATGTTTTGTGGGAGTGGGTTGAACTTTGGGCTCGATCAATCAACCTGATCTGAGCAGACGGCGTCAAGGGGCTATGACTGAACGAAATGGCTGAATGATAAAAAGTGCTTTTCAACATGATACCACTGCAGCAACGGGGGCTGGCAAAAGTCCGATCTTAACATCGGCGTTTTTGGCTGGCTCTGAAAACAGACAGAGAGGACCAACATGGGGGTTGAGGGCTATCGGCTATGGCAGAGATGGAAGCCACATTCTGAACAGAATATCTCGAAAAAGGACTTTGTATGAGATTACATAGAAGCGAAAGAGGTGTTACATTTGGGCCAATTCTACGGCCTTAACAGTTGCGTCCATTGAGAACCTGAACAATATTTAGAGGTGTGAGAGATGTGCACGTGAGAACGTGTCATCGAGGCGTGTTTTCCTGTTGGCCGGCAATGTTGGTGATGTGGTCCCTCTCAATGATTACCATCACCCCGCCAACATTTTATGACATTCCGCTTTTTCTTTGACGACCTGACAACTGCGCCTGATGGAGGGGTTGCGAGTGTTATCAATTCAACCCTTACAAGAGCAATATGGGGGTCCCTCATCCCAACCAGCAGTCCGCGCCTCAACCCACACGCGTATTCTTTGACCCCTTCAACTCATCCTCCACTGGCCACCAACGAGCAGAAAATCGCCAGTCGGGGTCCACCTCGTGGCGCGAGTCTCGTACACACAAACTCTCACACCAATTCAAGGACGTTAGCGGTCGTGGCGGTGATAGACACCTGCCTGATCTGGTCGGCGCGAGCAGTGAGAATTTCTGCGAGGATGGGCGCAAAGCAAACGGCGACTGGCAAGGAGACGCGCGAAGGTTGAGGGAAAATGGATGGCAGGACATCAGAGACTTGATGGGTGGGAGTAAGAAACGATCGAGCGGGAGAATGGAAGACAAAGGATTTGCAAGCAAGCGGGCGAAAGCAAGCCACGAAGGCCCCCAACACCGCCACAAGGATGCGACAGACTCTTCCCTATTTGGACGACAGCAACACGGCCTAGATGACAACACCACTACTACTCAGTCTCAACCTCCCCAAATCTTCCGCAACTTGACAATCTACCTCAACGGGAGCACCTTTCCACTCATCTCCGACCATAAGTTAAAACACATCTTTGCCCAACACGGTGGCAACACCTCGATAGCCCTTGGCCGCCGGACCGTCACCCACGTTGTCTTGGGCAATAACTCTGCTGGCGGTGGTGGTTTAGCGAGCAGCAAGATTCAGAAGGAAGTGGCCCTTGTGCGTGGGAAGGGCGTGAAGTTTGTGACGGCGCAGTGGGTGGTGGACAGTGTCGAGAAGGGCATCAGACAGCATGAGAGCAAATATGTACCGGACGGGGTGGAAGGGAGGATTGGAGGGAGCAGCCAGGCAAGTGTGAGGCAGATGTTTCAGCAAAAGGATGAAGCGAGATGACAAAATAGATTGCATGGTTTCGGGTACGGGGTTGTTATGACTTTGCATCAAGAGGGGAGGATAATTTACATGGCTGGTATGTGGCTATGGATGAAAGGGGGAGACACGGTACCCCTGAGGTTTTCCATGCATCATTGGCATAGCCACGGAGGTTACGATTGGCATCAAAGACGGACGTGGAGGGGGAAGCGTTTATGGTGCCCTTGGGCTTTATATGCTTCAACAACAGGCATGGGTGGACTACTAGCATTCAGAGCACCCAGGGCTCGACCTTCGACGGGCGGAACAACAGAAACGCAACGTCAAGAGAACCACGACGACCACGCCATGGCGCAGAAACATTTCCTTTTCAATTGGTGCTCAAATTGGGCCACTCTATTATGACACGACATCATCAGCATGCGATTCCAGCTTCACACACGACTTGATAAGATTAGGAAATTAGAAACTCACCGAATCTCGTCCTCTCCTTATTCCTCCTCACAATGCTCACCTCATCACCAACCTTGATTTCGGCAGCAGACTTGCCCTCGGGGACCCTAGCGAGAAATCCATACCTCCCAAACACAGGGCTCCATTTTGCACCAGGATCCACGCGCCGATCGCTTTGCAGCTTCTTGAGGATTTTGCCCGATTCCCCTTGGCCGACCTTGCCCGTGGCGTAGTCGACGTTGAGCGAGTTACAGCGCGAACAGTTTTGGGTCAAAACGATCTTTGCACCTTTGGTCTCGTCATCGTGGTCACCGGGGCCACCGATCAGGATCTCTGCCCAATAGTCCTCCTCAAAGTCCTCTTCGGCGCCCTCGACGATAATGTTCGGGCGGAACTTGGAGATGTCCATTTCTTCGTTTTCGGGGAGGCGGCGTTGTGCGTTTTCCCATGATTTTGTGGATATGACTAGGTAGGGAGCCACGTCGGCGAAAGAGATTCCTTCGTCTATGCCTTCGTATTGGTTTTCTTTATCCATGTCGGTGCCCGCCGCGCCAGTGATGGCTCGCGCAAGAGAGGTTGCGGTTGATGTTATACTGCCTAACCACGAACTCTCGCTTGACTTTCCGCTCGACACCCGAGCAAGGCCGGCCCTCTGCTGTGCGGCGACATTCGGAGGCATATTTCCCAAGACTTTCCTTTTATTCCCGCCAATATACAACAGCTTTACTTCATAGCCAAACCGCTCACTGAACCAGCCATTATAGTCCTCGCCCATATCGTACCCTATACACGGGGAGGAGTGCATGGTGACCTCGACCTCCTTGAGACCCGCGGTTTCAGGACTGAGGGGAACATGTAGCTGATCCGGGCTGACTTTCTTGTCGGGATGGTCGAAAACGTGGTCCTTGGTGTAGGTCACAATCACCTTGCTATCGGGTCCAGCACCACCCTCGGTGGAGAAGGCGGTGGTGAAAAGACACATCTCGGTAAAGGTTGCGACGGCCATGTGCTTGCCATGCGCGACGTTGAAGAGCAGGAATCGTCTGTCGTGCGGGAAGCCCATGTATGTTGCCGGCATGGCGGAGAGCGAGATGCCGCGGAGGGATTTGATCGGGTAGGTATAGATCTGCCATTTCGGGAGGAGAAAGACATGTTAGGACACGGGTGGACAAAGTCGAATAAAGTCGGCATTCTCGGGGACACCTTTCTCTCGGTCTCTCTCTTTTTCTCGTGAAGGGAAAGATGGGTGGATGGATGAATGGGTTATGATACATGGGATGGGATGTTACAGTACCTGCTTGACACGCAACTGGCGTGGAGACATAATGGTTCCCGAATCCGCCATCTCTGAGAGATTCTATTTCTTATTATGACCGGACAAGGAATCCCCGACCAAAGTGATGAATTCAATCAAAGCGAAGCCCCCAGCTCAATGGTATTTTCAAGAAACAGCGAGGTCCTTCTAGTTAAATCCCCTTTCTTCTGCGTGTGACTTGTTCCTCTTCAGCAGGGAGATTTGGGTTTGTGAATTGAGAATATTTTTTTTGGTTTTGTCTGTAGTTGTGAGTTACGGTCCAGGATATGTATGCCTTATCTCTCTCGCGTGTCCATTCCAGTCGTGTGGCTGCAGTCCTGATTCGGTGAGATGCGGAGAAGCGCGATGTGATATGTATTTGTAGGAGGGGGAGAGGATCTCAGGGAAGGAGGAAAGCGGGCAAGACTTGTAAAAGGCTGCGGTTCTTGGGAATAAGGAGTGGAAATCTGGATCTGAGAATGAGAGAACAAAGGAGGGAGGTGGAGCGGGAAAGGCGAAGGGAGAGATTGCCAGGTAATGCCTGCTTGTTACGCACGTCTTTTCGGAGGGCCATGCGATGCGAGAAGACGGGGATGAAGATGGTGATGGAGATCGATTGACCGCTGTCCGACCAAACAAAAGCCAGTGCCAACTCTCGACAATCTCGACCCCGCATCGATTCCCTGGCCCGAGACCGAGGCCGAAACGGCCAAAGGGAAGAGGCTTATGGGTATTACGGGCAATGGCAGAGATGGACCGAAAACAAATGGGCTGGAAACTTCTTTCGTGTGTATATATGTGTGGAGAAGGACGCGCCTTTCAACCATCTCTCTAGCGGGTGCCAAGCCCCCCCCCCCGGGGAGTCTCATCACAACTGCCGCCAGCGAACAGGGTGGTGTTTCGTCCGGAATCCCCTTGGGTTTTGTCTCTTCTGTTTTGCAAGCAAGGCCATCCCCAATAGTCCTGAGCGGCCGCCTGACTGACTGACCGCCTGACTGGCTGGTTGTATGTTGTGTCTGTCCGCCTGTCTGCATGTCTGCCTAAGACTCCTGGATCTTGCGGAAGATGGGATTCCGCGCCGTAAAGCTCCGGCATCGCTTGCCGAAGATCCACATCGGGATGGTGAGCAGGCAGATGAAGATGTGAAGGCCGCCGATGATCGAGAAGACTTCGAGGGGACCTTGCTTGGTGATCCAGTCTGGCGGCGGACAACGGTCAGCTTCTGGCGAGGAAACAATAACAACAGATCGAGACTGTGCCCGAACTTACCGCTAATGAAATAGTTCATGCCGAAGCTGTAGATGTTGCGCAGGTTGAGCGAGGCGAATGCTTCCGGTGCCTTGTTGCGATGGCATTCCGTGATGTAGCCGTAGATGCCGATGTTGAGGAACGACATGGCAAAGTAGATGATGCCGTAGAGCACCACGGGGCCGGCCCAGGGTGCTTCGTTTTCGAGTGTGGCGCCGAACCCGAAGAAGCCAACAACTCCCAGGATCAGAGTGAGGACGTTAAGGGCGAGGCGGAATTCCTGAAACGAGGAGAGTCAGCAAGTAATCGTACCTTATTTTCTCCTCACAATACAAAAGGGTACGTGGGCTATTAGGGGCGCTCGCTCACCGGTTCATAGATCCCTCCGTTCCATCGAGCGAGCCTCTTCACGGTCCAGTCATTCATCGGTCCAGCCACAAATCCCAGCAACGAGGCGACCAGTGCCGCAATGCTGATGAGGCCGACGTCCGACACGCTGAAGTTGTAAGGAGGCCCTGTGAAGAGCTGCGCCAGCACGGAAATCATGACCACCAGCCACGACGTCGACAACCCGTAAGTGATGAAGCCGTAAAGCACCTGCGGAAACAGGAGCATGCCAAACGGTCGAAAAATGATGTACAGCAAGTTCTCGTCCGACTCAGAGCCGCGCCATGGACGCATCTCTTCCCAGAATGTCCAGGGTCGTTCGTCGGCACCCGTGTACAGCACGTCGGTGTGGATTCTGCTGCCGGATTTGGTCGTCTCGAGGTGTTCCATGTGTTCGCCCTTCACCTCACGCACATCCAACGTCTCGAAAGTGTGGTCGGTCGTCCCCAAGTCAAGGTTGTAGGCCGGATCTCTCTTGTACACGGTCTCAGGCACGAAAAGGAGGATCAAAATGATGAATGCCCCGTACAAGCATGCACAGATGCCGTAGGTCCAATTCCAGCCGATGTCCTGCAATGAGTGAGCTTGGGAAGTCCAGCTACCTCTGCCAGGGGCTAGCCTTCTCCTGCTGGGCGCGCGTACCTGAATAATGTAACCTGAGATACAGCTGCCTCCGCCTACTCCGATACTCAAGCATAAACCCCAGAAGGCCAGACGCAAACCCCGTTCATGGACAAAGTAGATGTCGCCAATAATTGCCGTTGTGAGGACCTCAAAGGGTGACATTCCAATGGCACCGAAGATCCGACTGTAGAGCCTTGTCAGTATGGACCCGAAGACGCAAGGGCAAGCTAAGATCTAGCTCTTTCTCGAATAACAATGTGGACCCCCAAAAGAGCCAACTCACCTGGCAAGTAAGCTATGATAACTGTGCGCAAAGTATCCCCAGATCGAAGAGATGAATAAGAGCAGGTTCCCCAGGATGACGACGGGTCGACGACCGTATTTGACCGAAAGACCGTTGGTGATGAAGCAGGAGATGCCGATGGCAAAGATGGCCCACCCCAGCCCGCCGTTGAGCTTGTTGTAGGACATGTGCCATTCTTCAGCCATTTCGGCAAACCCCGGAGAAATCATAGGTCCCCACGCGCCAACCACAGCAGTGTCGATGCTGATGATGAGCAAGAGGAGATCCTTTTTCCATCTGGGCCAATTCAGTGGGTCTCTGGGAGACTCGCTGGGTTGAGGGACAAGAACTATGTCTGTATTTCGTCCGGTGGCATGTTTCAGACCAGAAGTATCTCGCCCTAGAACCCTTATCAACATTTTGGATCCCCGCAGAGACTCAAGGCATGGCCCCTACCGTGAAATTGATGGTGTTGCGCATCTAACATATCCGCGAGCAACGCCGTGCCCGGGACATGGTCGAGATGGCGGTCTTCGAGAATTCCAAGACCCATGTCGTCCTCTGATCAAGGAAGAAGAATCAAGCTTTTTTCGTGCAGCCGCTTTGCCAAGGTAAAGGAGCGATCAGACTGGAAGTTTAGGACATCTTCGAAGAAGGCGGCGTCCCCAGTTGTATATGATATATCTTGCATCATCTTTTACTGCGGGGCTTTCGGCAATGAACAGAGCTGTAGGTACCGTAGCCTAGGTCTGGAACGACCGAAGAAGCGAAGGCTATCCTCACAGAGAGGTGGTTTCGCATCCCACAGTCATGGTGGAACTAGGGATTTCCCCAGACCAACCTCACAACCTTCCCCAGCATGGCTTTGGAGTACCCCAAGGGCAGATCGTCTGTGGCGTACCAAGTACTTCTGCGTGTGATCTAAGCGGGGTCCTTTGTGTTTGATTGACAAAAGATCGGCAGATATGTCAACCATAGTAGCTACCAGCCACGTTGACAGTTGGGCCGGCGAAGGCGAATATGTAATTGGGTGGGAAAGTCACCGCTGACGAGTTGTGCACTCCTAACATCGATTCATGGCGAGTGAGAGAGGCGGGGGGAGAAGGATTGCATACCGCAGGATAGATCTTAATGGCTGGTGGCTGTTGTGATTGGACAAACGCCGAAGGAAGCAAGACAGAAGAGGCGAAGGTCGACTTAAAGCGCGGAGAGGAGCCGCTTTACAATGCTATACTCTTTTGAGGCAATGGATTTGGGCGTATCACAGACATCAGCCTGCTTGGTGCTTGGGGTCGACCTCCACTGTCTTCGATTTTGAGCTTCAAAAGCGAATTACGGCTTCACAAAAATGCCCGAGCTGTTGATGGGTTCATTCCCGACCCATTTTTCAAGGCCTCAATCCTGATTCTGCTCCCCGAGATCCTCATCCGAACACAGCCTCGCCACAAACGCCACGTAGGCCAGCTTTTGTATACTACCGAGCAGTTAAACGTGAAATTCCCTAACATCAAACCTCCTTGGTAGTACCACGATTAACTGAAAAGACCGAGACAGCTGATATGAACGATCTGCTGCCTTGTCCCAGAACTCGCCCAATTAAAAAGTAACACAGTCTGTACACGCAGCATCCAATGTAGCTAAAGAAGGCTCAATAATGACGGGTTGGTCGCTATATCGAACGTAGCTAAAGCATCCGTGAGGATAGAGTACCTAATAAGCGGAATATTTTTTTGCCAACGAAGGCTACTGTTGAACAAGAGGTTGAGTTGTGGACCTATCTGGTTGATTGTGTCTTGTCCCCCTGGCTATTCAGAGAGACTCTGCCTGTTTATATATACATTGGCCTGTAACCACAAGAGCATTCCTGGAACCTCCTACTCCGTCGCCATCCTGTCACAGAACTGCAGGAACAACGAGGTTGAGGCAGTTTGCGCAGTTGATGAAGCGTCTAACGTCTCAGGTGGTTTGCCCCAATGGTGCTCTCGCGACCCTGTCAACACTTCTCAACATAATCACCCTCAGTGGAGTCTAGCAGGATTCGAAGCTCTTTGTAGGCCCCTCGTACACCGATGTAGAAAATGGCATTGCTTGATTCTTGCCATTCCGAGTACACCTCATCCATGTCCACGGCACGATCAGCGAACTGAAAGAATAACTTCTTGGCCAGCACGCCCTCTTGGTAGGTCCATAATCGTCTCGTCCATCCACACGAAGCAATACGCAGAAGATGTTGAGGCCTGTCAAATGCCTCGTTTCCACCTCGAGCAGCGAGTGGTCGAGCACCACAACAATCTCCGCATCGGCATACGTTCTCCGCATAAAGGCAATCGCTTGTTCACAGGCTTTTCTGGCTCGCTCGCGCACATGTTTATAGTCTCGTGGACATGAAATTGTGTCCAACTAGACTGGCATTCCCCGCTGCGAGAACTGGGAAGCTTATGTTTGGAGCCGGCTGAGCTGACAGCTGTAGATAGCGTTGCGTTGTGGATTGCCTAGCCCGTCGGACCATACATGAGATTGGATATGTACTTCTGAACTTCGACGGTGCTCTTTAGCTTTAATTTGGGGGTCTCATCCTGGTTAGGGTCGATCAGCGGCAAATGTTCTTCAAGAATATCGAAGATCTCTGTAGGGTCGGCAACGAGGTCTTGACAGTCGTCGCAGCCGTGGTGTGCCCGGCGGTAATGGCCCAGAACTATGTCATTCGCATTGCATCGAATGCCCTCGCAAGAGTCATGGCGACCGATCCCTTGGTGGCAGTGTGGTCACGAGGGTGAGCGAATGAAGATCAAGCATCTTCGTCAGTCTTTGGACATCACTGGGACACCATCCAGTCGACCGCATACGCTTTTCAAGCAAGACATCTGACAATGGCCATTTGCGAATAGGAATGCAGGTTGTCCTAGGGTCGATGCATAGTCGCAGCGCGTCGCATAAGATCATGACGGAGAGCAGGATTAGTTCCAAGGGCTCTTCAAGCTCTTCCTAATTGAGATGGATCTGTCCAACGATTTCTGCCGCCAGCGCGATCGATTTCTCGAGATACCGTCTGCTAGTACTACTTCCCTCTTGTGTAGCGGGAGGGCGCAAGTATTCCTGATGGCACAAACGCCGGAACCGAAGCATCGTCACCAAAGGTTGGCTGGTCGAGCTGATGTCGACAAAGTCGAGATGCCTCGCATTTTGTCCAAAGGCTTGGTGGATGAGGCTGAAAAAAGCCAGCTCTGAATCATCTGTGCCAAGTCCCCCAGTGTGTGGTCCTTCTGCGTTGGATTCAGGATGTCATCCATGGTCCAGCCTTGCACTCGGTCAATGTAGGAAGCAAATTCCCTGTTATCGTAGGGTTCCTCTTTTGGATCCAATGATCCCAAGTATGGAATTTCGATAGATCGATTAGGTTGTTTTACTCGCGCAGGAAGCGCCATATTATCCATTGTGAGATACCTGCCTTCTGAGGTGTTGCGCTAGAAGGCTCTCAGCAGGCCGAGCCTGAACTAGACAAGCCAAGCCGTTCGGATAAACTCAGGGAGCCAATTCCAAGAAGCAGGATTTTGAACAAGAATAGGGCAGATGGAACCGATCCATCAAGGTGTGGAACATATCCGATGCACTCCACCGTGGGTTCTTGTACGAGGTACTGGAGAGACGAGGTTGCCTTGAATGGGACATCAAAAGCTCTCGCAAGGCTTTGCCACACCAAGGCTTAAAGCGCAGAGGCGAGACCCTCGACCCCTGGTTAGTCCACTAGCCAGCCTCGCCAGGTAATTTAGTCTTGTCCGAGGTGCTATGGGTTGTACGAGGCTGTGCTTGATATGTCCCTTCCTTCTACTGGCATTCAACGAACGGATATTCTTTGAGTACCCCAGAGAGAGCCTCTTCGTCCTATCGGCGTCAATCCAAACATTGCAGGAGCCGCCGGAAACTTGACGAAGTTGGTCCTCGCTAAAAACCCTACCGATAACACATGGTTCACAGCCCAGGACCGAGTGGATGCGACGTTGTTGGTCACATCAGCTGCTACGGCACTACAGCGTCGTTGAGGGATCCTCCCACCTGTCCTGCACCGGGATTGATACTCATCATTACAACGAATAACATTTCTGATCAGTCAAGTATACATACCTCCGCAAGCCGATTAATTAGCCTGTGGGCCACCTCGTCGAGCCAGGTAGCTCATGACGAGGGAAACTGCCCTCAAGTTCAGACCGATTTACAAAAGTCCGAGTCTCTCCAGACAGTTCATGGACTTCAGCGTCACCAAACTCCCGCAACTCCCCATCTGCAGCCTCCAATGGTTCTTGTCTTCCTCGCCCGAACGACAGGGACAGTCTGCCGCCACTGCTACTCGTTCCGCCACGCTGCGAGGCGGTCGTGTATCCGCTGTCTTCGACTGAAGCCGGCGTCCCATGTTTATAGCATCCTTCCAGCTCACTGCGCGGACTCCCTAACACTCTACCATCGAGCTCAGGGGGTTTCTCTGCGGCGCCAACAGGGCCTATCGCTTCAGAGGTAGTTTGGACTCCGCATATTGAGCCACCCTCCCTTTCAGATAGAGGCCGCTTGGCTTCGGGCTTCTTGAAACATTTGAGCCAGACTGCTGCACATACCGCAGCGAGGACAAGTATGGCGGCGATGACTATACCTGCTGCCGCCCCTGCCGGCAGTCGATGTGACTTGGTTCCAGGACTGGGCGGATTGATGCAGTTTGTCGCATTTTGGGCGCATATGGGGATGATGTCGGGTTGCACTGACGATTCTGGGTATACTGCTTCGTACAAGGTGATGGAGCCCCACTCGTAATTTGCGACGATGTAAATCTCCTGTAGGATCATTCTGCCCAGGGTATACTGTGTCTCATTTGCGGCTTGCTTAAGGGGAAAGTAAAAATATGTCTCATCGCCGGCCAAAGGAGGACTTGCTTTCAGGTCAAACGCCGCGTAGGGAAGGGTGATGTTAAGGCGGTCCGTAGAATTTGAGGTCCCTGTGCTGAGGGTAAAAGTTACACTTGCATTCTTAGCGATAAGAGCGGAATGTTGGTCTTCGCTGAGAAGGTAGAGCTCATAGGTCTCGTTCCATACCAGATCAAAGGCTGCTTCGAAAGCTTGACAGGCTGATATTGGAAGCCAGATTTGAGTGGTAAGGGAGTCTAGGGCTGTGATTATTGGCTCCGTGAGCATCTCTGTACTCCCGGTGGTGATGCTGTCAACTCCAAGAAGAAAAGGTCTGTACTGGTCAGAGCCTCCCGCCAGCGTAAGGTTAGCATTAATGTTGAGACGACTCGCATCATATCCGCCAAATGTCAGGCTACCAAATGACATAACTGGGAACGAATAGTAAGATGCTCCAGCAAGGTAGCTCCAGGAAATGCTAGGAATAAGGTTGTCCTGTCGAAGTGCGCCAATGATGCTGGGAATTGGATCGTTGAATGAAGATATATTGGTGGGTTGTGGGCTGAGCCCAATGCTGCCCACGAAGAAATCGTCCGTCACGTAGGCGAGCACAAGCTGGTTGTCCAGGGACTCGCCGCCCTGGTTGTTCCAGCCAAACTTTGAGCCATGAGTCAGCACTTGCATAGCAAAAGGAATCGTCATTTCCTATACCGTTATGTTGTCGAAGCCCAATGCTGCCGCACCAGAATATGGTAGGTAATGCTGGGGGCTTAGTGGAAGCGAGTAGTTGCCTTCAGTCTCCCACGTCGCTGAAGCACTCAAGTTGAAAACACCACCACGCGCAGCAGGGCAGTCGAGAAGACTTGACTGTTCGCATGCGTAGCTCCACACTGTCCATATCGCGTTGCCAGTAATCGACGGCAGTAACCTGACTACTTGTGGGGGAGTCCCGATCTGGACTGCGAAGGTCGACCACTGCCCGTCATTACCATCCCTGACAGGACGTTAGATGCCATCAAATTTTCAGCTCAGTTTTACACTTGCCGAGAGTTGCTCGGTTCTAATGATATCGGGGAAGGGTACGACTCATCGTCAAGAGTCGCACAGCCAGTCAGAAGAACTCCCAAGAAAACGCATAAGGCTGAGAGTGCAGAGGACGAAAGGCTCATATTTCCAGATCCAACTCGACCTGGCAGAGTATCGGGCGATTGAACTTTGATCGGGGACTGTGAACTTCTCCAGAGATCTAGTCATTACCAGCCTCGGCCACAATAGTGTCCCGGTCCTGTTTGACAGAAGTAGATGGGAAAGTGTAATGTGTTATGGTCGTAAACCAAGGGCGTTGCTTAGTAGCAGGTAATCATGGTGGACGGTCAAGAGCATAAGCAGGCCAGGTTGGAACGGGACAGCTGCTTCAACGCCTGCCACTGAGGCAATTTGAGCGATTGGCCTAGGCCAGGATCTTGTAGCACAAGGTTCCAGCTGCTTCCGACTGTAGAATGATATTCGTATCCTGGATCGAAGATGTCTTTGCCAACATTAAGGAGCAAGTCTGCTCTGTATTCTCGCCATTGCCATGGCGTAGGTCTACCCCTCAAGGCTCAAGCAGGTTATGACGCGGTAGGTGTGCTACCTCAGGCGGCCATTGCTATCAAGAGCAGCAAATGAAGCTTCCCGTCGTACGGGAGGCGGGAAAGAAGGCTCCTTCGACAGAGGATCGGAGGTCGGGTGGTGACAAAATTGGCTGACCACGGATACGAATCTGTTGATATCCAATAGAAACTCCGGTGAAGCTCCTGCCCAGAGCTGAAATGTATGCCAAGCAGAATAGATGTGTTCATGCTTCGTTATTGAAGACCCTTGAAGACACCTTCACAGAAAAAACCACGCCCCCCAGCTCCTGTATTGGGTAGAGGATCATGCTGCCGAGTTCAGAGCCAGTTATAAACTTCTGGCCGCCCGTCCTCTTCTCCACACCATTGCGTCGTCATCCCAAGGCAGACTTTTCGGCCTCATTTGCATTCACCCTGCAGACACGATGTTGAGTTGCAAGAACTCTGGCAACAAAGGCTCAATGAAGCCTGACAGAAAGTGGATGTTGGGGGCCGGACACTTGATCTCGTGTTTGGGAGGGTCTCTTTCTTGAGCCTCTATGGGGGCTGTTGAGGAGAGGGAGACCTTAAACCCAGCATCAACAGGCTGTCGACACAGAATTGCAATTTATCTTTCGACCACTTCTATTCTCTCCAGTCTGAAACTTGCGGCCCTCCGTCTGCAAAGAAGATGGTGCTAGTTGGAGCATTTTTACTTTTGTTTGGCCTTGGTGCACAAGTCTCTGGCCATGTTCGACGTATGGGGGGGTACAACGTCCCACAACGTATATCAGCACTAACCTGGATATAGGGCAAGCTACAAGCAACCAAGGCACGGTGGTAGCGACTGATACTGGGGCAGCAAGCACTCCAGTAGCCACAACAACAAATCCGCCAACGGCAAGTACAGCTGTAGCAACTACACCATCAATTGAACCTGCTACAACCGCAGCCTCGCCGCCTACGACCACAGCTCCGCCGCCTACATCTGAAGCCACACCTACCACTTCAACACTTACAAGCATAGCCTCAGTGCCTACAGCTACAACTTCACTGGTTGTAACCACGCCTACCACCGTAACTTCAATCGCATCAATTACTCCAGAACCTACATCTGTGACCACGGCGACAGCCACGACCTCAGCAGAACCTGATTGCACACTCACAGAGACCGAGACCGAGACGAGTACGGAATGGACAACTATCACATCTTTCACCACTACAACCCTTCCTCCTCCGACGGTTACATCCACGCTCCCTCCAGAGACCATTGTGTCTGCGACCACGCTCCCTCCAGAGACCATATGGACTACTAGCACTGCCCCTGCCGAAACAACTTGGACCACCATAACTCTCCCTCCAGAGACAAGCGTGATCACCGTCACGCAAACTTTCACTTCTTCTGCACTTGCTACCAATGAACCGCTCGCTAGCCCCGCCACATCCAGTTCTATTCCAGCATCTGTTGGCCCGACCACAACCACTGCGAGCCTTGTCTCGAGCACCAGTCTGTCCCCAACAGCCTCTGCAAGTACAACCCCTCAAAGTTCTCCTGCCGCATCTATTCTTCGAGTCAGACAAGAGAGTGGAACTTGCGAGATAGTAACCGTCACGGACGTTACTGTTGTATCCAGCACTACGGCTACTACAGCCACCAGCACCGTTCCCCCGTCGTCAACAATCTTCAACCTTGTGCCTAACACGCCTGTCATCTTATCAACGACCGTGATTCCCCCACCCACAACCGCGTCAGTGATTGAGACCCCCCGGGTCGTCGCAACATCGACTGTCGTCAATGCGCCTGTACTGTTAACAACAACAACCCAGGTCACCGTGGCTGCAACAACGCAACCGCAGAATCCAACCCCTGCACCAGTTCAGTCAACCACCCAAGTCCCTCCTGCTTCCAATGCAACGCCGGCAAGCGCCAGCAGTGGACAAGGGCCATCTGGAACTGGAACTGGAGCTGGAACGCAAGCACCAACACCAAGTACTACGCCAGCCGCTTCTATAACAACGGCATCCAGTCCGGCTTCTCCATCAACCGCTACCCCATCTCCCACCACAGCGGCTTCATCGCCTACCACAGGTAGCCCAAGTGTCTCAGCCACGTCCCCCTCTTCACCCTCCGTATCAACATTCCGAACAACCACCACTAATGTAGCTACAGCAGTTGTCGTGGATGGCACCACTGTTACCGCTGGCGGTCCTCCAGTCACCATCAACGGCACCCCAATCAGCCTAGGCACCAGCAGTTCAGAGTTGGTGATTGGAACAAGTACAACTGTTCTTACACTAACTCCAAGCGGTGGCATCCAAACCATCATTTGCAGTGCCATTGGAGGTTGCACAAGTACGGCTCCCCCCACGTTGCAGACCTTTGTAGGTGGTGCCCAAATGGTACGGTACAATCCGGTGAATACGCCGTGGGCGCTGGGCTGGGTGATTCCGTGGATTTTGTTTGCCTAGTAGTATGTTTCTTTATGATATGGAACGAACGTCGCGCATGGAAAACCTTGCAGATGGAACTTGGCAGCTCGTACTAATAAGGGAGTGAATGGTCTTTATCACTTTGGAGGACAGAAAAATACCTAAAAATGGCAGAGCAAAGGCTGGCCTCCCTTTGATCTAATATACCAAGCTGGTTGTTTCTTGAATGAATGACCAATTAGCAATAGTAATATACGATCACTTCTGAACCACGACAGAGGAAACGAAAGGATCGGGATGGGCACATAGAGCCGGGCTTGACATCAAATTATCAGCTAGACTGGGCGGGCATCCTGGAAATGCGGGAGATCAAAGAGGATCGAGACCAAATCACACCTCCATTCTTATCACGAACAATTTCGCCTTAAAAAGAGGCATCGTTCTCCCTCGCGAGATGATCGGAGATGATCGCGGATGCGGGCTCTCGTAAAATGCTTTCCAGGGCTATGCGAGCAGCGCAGAGTCAACTTACAAGGAAGGGCTGGTATAACCGTGACTGGACTTGGGCATTACGGGATCACAGCAATATGGTTGGTGTTGAACGACCCCTGGAAGATGACTGCGTCGTTCATGCAACCACTCGTACTTGAGGTATGCATAGGCCAATTCTGGGTTGTGCATGAAGTTCATCTGCTATCAAGGAATTGACTACCCCGCCAGGTCGTCATGAGGCGATGACACACGGTGCGAAAGGCCTAGCACCCGAAGTGTTCAAGCGGGGTGCCATGTCCCTAGCAGAAATGCAGTGTCGCAGAACGCAAGCTGGATGAGGGAGAGCCTTGCTCAAGAGACCGCCCCAGCCCCAAGCCCCAGGCCCCCCTTTGAAAAGAGCAGAGGTAGATTTATCACGTGATTTATAGTCTGCGCAAGTCTGTGCCAAGCGCCGAGGCGCCAAACCTGTTCTCGCCGCACCTGCTGTGATGGTATCCCGGCCACTACTTGTAGGGCGCCAGTGTTTAACTGCCAGTCACCCGTTCGTCTTCCGACGCCAAGGATTCGGAGATGTGACATTTTTCCGCATTGCAAGAAGCCTCCAAATGCAGACAATTCAACATCCTAGCATCGGCCTCTCACTCACTCTCTGCTCCTCGTAATATTAGCTGCGTGTTTTCGCGCAGGGCGATGAAGACGCCTGTTGCGCCTTCTCGAAGTCTTCTGCGCTACCTCCGATCTCAATCGGGCTTGCTCTTCACAAACTCCCGTCACTTCACAGCATGTGCTCAAAGACCGTGTCGACCTATATCTACAATATCCACCCGAAAGCGGCTTTCTTCGCTTGAGGACGTATGGCGTACGACGCGAGAGCCATCTCAAGCTTTTCCACTTCTGAGATACAGCCACCCCAACCCTCCACAGTCTCGCGGCGCAAGCACAGAGAGTCATAAGGAAAGTTTTTGGCGACGATGGCTGCGTCAAAGAGCCGCTGCATCCCGTTCAAAAGTACCACGAGATGCTCCAACTACATCCTCGCCCTATGGCTACGATGAGACTTCCGCGCAACTCTTCAATCTCTCCCGCGCCCTTTCTCGTAATACTAGCGGCGCAGAATTAAAGCTCCGTTGTACCGAGTTCGACGCCAATGGCTCTGTCACAATGGTGTCGGGCGAATTCAAGAAATCAGAACTCATCGCCAAATACGGCTTGCTGCCTCGAGATCTCCGAAAGATCGACTCCTCGGTCCTTCCCCATATTCTCGTCCGTCCTTCCGCCATCCTAATAAATCTCCTCCACCTCCGAGTCCTTATTCAGTCTGATAGAGTTTTGGTCTTCGATGCCTTTGGAAGCACGGACTCTTACACTCAGTCCCTATTCATGTACGACTTGGAGGGGAAACTACGACAGAAAGCGGACCCTAGAAATGGCTCCCTCAATCTTCCATACGAGCTGAGAGCTCTTGAAGCAGTTCTCATTTCCGTCACTTCAGGCCTGGAAGCGGAATTTGCATTGGTTCGAGAACCGGTCACACATATTTTAAGAGAGCTGGAAGAAGATATCGACAGAGATAAACTACGGCACTTGCTCATACATTCCAAAAAGCTCGGAACATTTGAGCAAAAGGCCCGACTTGTTCGAGATGCTATTGAGGACCTGCTTGAGGCCGACGACGATCTGTCCGCTATGTACCTGACGGAAAGAAAGGCGACTGGCAAGCCCCGCGCTGAAAACGATCACCAAGAAGTTGAAATGCTCCTCGAATCCTATCACAAGATCTGTGATGAAATTGTCGAAATATCTGGCAATTTAATCAGCAACATTAGAAACACGGAAGAAGTGGTTCGGGCCATTCTAGATGCCAATCGCAACCAGCTCATGTTGCTCGAAATCAAATTTAGCATTGGCACTCTCGGTCTCGCCGGCGGCACCCTTATCGCCGGGCTCTACGGTATGAACCTGAAGAACTTTATCGAAGAGTCGGACTTGGCTTTTTGTGGAGTCAGTGTTGTGTGCTTCGGCCTGTCCTGGTTGATCTGCATCTACGGCATGCGCAAATTGCGCAAAGTGCAAAAAGTGCGTATGTGGGGTGAAGGACTTGATCACAGCATGGGCTTCCGTGGCGGCAAGATAGGGAGTCGAGGAAATTGGCGCAACGAAGCAGTGGAGAGCCAGGCGCATAAGATTGGCAGACTAAAGGCAGGAGGGGTCAATCTTGGTGGCAGTGCGCAGTCTGGCCGTGTCCTTTGGCCTGGCATGGATGGGTTGGGAATGCATAAACTCAACAATGCCGAAAACGGCAACCAACAGCAACAAAGTGGTATCCATGACAGGAACGCCAAGGCGAATGCAGACACGGCATCGATTGTATCAGGCATGACGATTCACGAGGATGTCGACGACGTTGAGGCCAAGATGAAGGCCGACGCAAGGAAAGAGAAAGGTCTGATGACCAAGGAGCAAATGAAGGCACACAAGAGGAAGTAAAGCAAGGTCAACCTCTACCGTGGCTCTGTAAAACATCTGTGACGATACGCTAGGGTTTCTGCTTCTCTCTCTTTTTTTTTGGCGTATATATGGCAGGTCTGATCTACCTTGAGCGTTCAAGCGAGGCATGAGTTAGGTGATTCTTGCATATATATATCAGGGTAACTGGCCGCGAGAGGCATATCATAGACAGGTCGGGTGGTGAGAAGGCTATGTACAAAGGAACGCGAACCTAGTCTCAACCTCCCAAGTATTTCGTGGGTTATGCGTTTCAAACATAAGGCACGTGGGGTCTTCGATACAGGCGCAGTCCTTCTTGGGACATCATTATTCATTACGATGAATCGATTCCGAGCAGGTGATTGGTTTTGACGGCCACTGGAAGTTGCTCCATTGTCTCCAGCGGAGAGTATAAACATACTAGATTACTCGAGAACGAAAAACCTGATTGCTATATCCGGCTTCACCCTAAAGGGTGAACGAAGGCCGCTTTAGCCTGAGCCTTGCCTGAACATCACGGAACGCTCCCTGAGCACGCCCTAGGTAACATAACTGGTGTGCAATTGGTGGGCGAGGGGAGACACGACCTTTGAAAGCATCTAGGCCAATGACCATTCTCGTAGCTTCTTCCTAGGCCTCCTGCCTAGTCCTAAACAAGCTGCGTAATAGTGCCTGAGAACTCTAATGCTTGTGTGCCGAGGACGTCTTGGCGTACTTCTTGTTGCTGATGAAGACGCCCGACTATTACAGTAGCCGATTTCCCTCGACGATAGAGGTGCTAACTCCGTAGCTACTTGTCCTTGTAGAGCGTCATTACCGAATAGATCTCTTAGCATCCTCGGATGGCAAAAAGCGGCAAAAAACATCATATGACGAGGCAGCAAGCAGCTGTCGCAGCTCACCCTCACCGGCCTGACCATACCACCCAATGTCGCAATTTCCTCCTCTTCTGCGCGTAGTGCAACCGGCACGTCAAGCTAACACCAAATAGCATCAAGAGCCTCTAAAACAGGTTGAGCGCCAATAGAACAAATAAAATAACAAGTTAACCACTAACCTAGTCATCACGATCAAACGAGCTATCACAGCAATATGGACATCTCAAATGCTAGCTCATGCCCATGCCCGTCGACGGTTTCTCCAATTCTTCAACCTCCAATCGTGGACTTGCAGGCGGTGGAAGAGTCCACGAGCTCGCTGTGCCAACCTCGACAGACGAGACGAGCTCTGAGTGAGTTGGTATTGCAGTCACAAGCGAAGCTAACGAACTGGGGTTCGTTAATTTCACGCGTGCATTCGCGGCTTTGCGTTGTTCTCTACCACTCAGGCCGAGCAGGTGGTACCTGACAACCTGAAAAGATTGAGATTTTTGGCAACGGACGTTTTTTTCCTTGCATAGAGCTCTCGAGTCGAGGAAACCAGCTAGAGGAAAATCGAAAGACTTATAGCAGAGTGTCTCGTCTCTGAGGATGGTCAGAATTTGGCTTTGAAGCGTGCACGGAACTTACACTGATGTTGACCTGAATTCCGACGAGCAGCGAAGACGGGGTTTCATATCACCCTCGTAAACACCGCTGCCGTTCCGTCCGCGAAATTATCGACGTCCAGATCTTTCTGCGCACAAGTCTCTTGTCAAGGACAAGGCGTTTGAGCAGGTGATTGTCTTTGACCGCCCGTGTGAGTTGTTCCATTGTCTAGTTTGGATAGTGGAAAAATAACTAGGTATCTCTGAAAAACTCGGTTGGTTCAAAGTTGCCTTCATTCATGTTTCGTCCTTTGTGCGTAACACATAATCTCGCGATTCTCAAACTGTTATTTTGTGGGTTCTCACTACCGATTGTACCGATTCTTCACCGGACATGTAGTGCTCGTGTTTTGTCCTTGGCCCTTCAGCTAATACACCACGGGCGAGGTGAAAAACTCAACCACGTACCTCAACTGCGTGTTGTTATCCCTCATCGTGAAGCCATGTGCCCAGTCCTTCTTGCGCCTCTATATACGCCTGTCCTGGAATTTGACAGGGGACCTGATAAGTGATATAGATCGAATCAGTGCCCGAACCTATGGAGGCCGTTCCGACTGCACAGTCCCATTCCCAGTCTTTCCCACTGGGATGTTTGAAAGACAAGCTGACGAGGACTGGTACCTTGTAGTACCAGTTGGTCCATTTCGACTTGGACCGGGATTCTGAATCTGCATGCAAGACAAACAAACAACTGGACTTAGTGCCCCGGCGAGAGGTCTGATGCTTGCAAGGTATAGAGACTGAATCTGTACGTCCAATGTTTTTGTCTTCAGCTGAAGTCGCTATTGTTGAGAAGCTGCCAAACTCTGAAACCGCCTGAGAATCCAGAAATCTTCAGTCGCTTCGAAGTCTGAGATCCAATGCCACGGACACAAGAAATAATCCTAAGTCACTATAAAGATAATCTACTCCGTAAGAATTCTGGCATATTACGGAATATTCATCGTAACTGATCGCTAAGACAGCGTGTTTCCCACATTTAGCAGGTGGTTTTTCGTGTCTGGAAGTCAATTGAACGAGCGACCATTTCTTGCCCTTCCTGGTTTCGATCTGTTTGAGTTGGTGGTCTGGAGCCTTGTGGTAGTAGCTTATACCGAACTGCACGGGATATCCCTCGGAGATGGCTTTGCATAGTTTGTCCTTCAGTGCGCGCTTCATCAGAATCCTCCTTGGCCAATTCGTCTTTCTCCGTTGGTGAGCGTTTCTTATCCAGTCGTTCGTAATGCCAGATGCGATAAGACTGCGCTATTTCAAAAGCTTCATCGGCTGGCTGCTGATTGGAGACGTCCATGGCTTCTTGTTTCTTGGCTGTAGTGGGCTAGCGACACTCGGACTCATCACGGACACCCTTCTGCTGCAAGCTCTCCGTTGCACTTCTAATATAGCAGAAAGAATTTCGGAATGTCGGATCATCTAGCTTGATTCCCTGGGCAACACGGACATTGTACCAGATAAAGATCCGAGATGGATCAACAGCAGCAAGATTCTCATTCTGTGTAGCCGCCCGCTCCTTCTGCAATTTATATGAGTGCAGCTGCAGCACTGTCAACGCAGGAGTTGAGGAATCTACCCTGGTCGTATATGCCTCGCCAGAAATTGCTGTATGCTGGATTTCCGCGGAGGTCCTCGGTATCATTGGCTTTCGCACCCTCTTTTGGTTTGTAGAATCTGTCATCTTCATCGGAAGGTTTCACAACCCATCCCTCGAAGCCAGAAAGGCGCTTGAAAAACTCGTCAGGTCCTGCCATGGGGTTTCACACAAGCTCGAGTATCTTCGCGTGGCAGACTCGAAGGCAGCAAGCCTCCTAAACAAGAACCCGCTGAGCTCTAGCCTGACCACAGACCGTGAAAGCGCCATCTTCTCATTTCCCAGTCCCGGCTAACTTTCAGCTCTTGCCTGGTGCGACCGAGTTGCAGCACCATGTAGGGCTATACTGAAAGTTGTGAAAGCGGGGCTGAACGAGGCGCATAGCGGCCACCCTCGTATAGTACTCAACACGTCAAGACCGGCGTTTTCAGCGCAACTGGAGTGTGGTTGCAAGGTAGTGTGACTGCAAGGTAGTGTGACTGAGCCGCTGAGGTCTGGATCCGTTTTGCTGCCTTCTTCTGCGGCTCGGCGTAAAAACTTCAGGCGATGTCCGAGAATTAGAGGGCTAGGCCCAGGGCTTTTCGGCAGATCTTGACTTACTGTATTGCATTGATATCTCTCACCACACATTTTCCATATCGGAGCCTGGTTGATGAAATCCGCATTCAAAATCGAAGACTCTTGCGAAATCCAGTTAGAAGGAGCCAGAAGGGAAGCATTGTAGAGCTCTCTGTCGCGATCAATTCCATATATGCTGGTATCAGGAATCGACATTGCAATAAACAAGGAATTTTAGGTAGGTTATATAAACGCAGGGACTTTCTAGCAAGTTAGGGGCACCAAAAGATGATGCCTGGCGTTACCAGCGTAGAAGGTAGGTTAGCCAATGTACGGAGTAGGCAGTAAGAGAAGTAGAATTAGGGGTTCTGATTGCGGAGTTACAGAGCGAGCCTCATTTAAATCTCAGGTTAAAACAGCCTTAACTCACCCGCTGCGGTCAGATAGTATTTGGCGAATAGGTGGGATGTAACACACTGGCTCGGGCAGAGATGGAAGGGAATCGATTTGTGTCTCATGCTTCTTCAATTCTCGCATCTTGATATAACCAAAGTGTGGACTCAACTTGATTTATTGTGATGTTTCCTTTGCTCAACCTCAACTTTCCCAAAGAAGGCCTTAACACTGTTTGCTCATTCTATTTACCCACTCGCTGACCTCGTGCTTGGACCCTTTGCGTGATCTATAGCATCGATATTCTCCTCGATCAAGTTCTTCTCTTCTCTGACCCTACGAGGCTTCTGCCATATAGCCTCTAACCATTCTTGCCTCCGTTTCTGCCATTTCTAGCGTCTGGTCGCCACCAAACCACATTTCCCCTTTTCCACCACTCAAGATTTGGGAGAAAGCATTGGTGAAGGGTATACGTGCACTCATCCTCTCGGAAAGCTGACTATGGATTACCAATCGTCATCGTCATCCTTCTCATCATCTATCACATCACAGTCAGCATGCATTGATCAGAAGCAAAACGCCAAACATCAAAGAAGAACAAGGGCGAACTCACCGCTGCCGCTAACTTTCTTCTTTCTCTGGCTCAATGCTGCTGCCAACGCTCCAGCCAAACCCCCTTGATCCCCTGCAGGCGTCGAAGGAGACCCAGGCGCTCCAGGAGGTGGCGGGGGAGCACTACTCTCTGATCCTGGCACCATGGCCGCACTACGGTCCCGTTTTTCGCTTTCCTTAACCTTGCGTAGCCCGCCACCAGCTTTGCCACCTGTGCCACGGATTGCTGCCAGAAGCGAGTCACGGCCATCACCTCCTACTTGAGGCAAAGGAGGAGCAGGTCCAGAAGAGCTAGGCATTGGAGGAGGTGGGGGGGCTCCACCGGAAGAGGGCATGGGAGGCGGCGGGGGTGCGCTGCCGAATGAAGGCATGGGGGGCGGCGGTGGAGGACTAGCGGAAGAGGGCATAGGTGGTGGTGGTGGTGGTGGCGGGGGAGGAGGTGGTGGCGGAACAGCGCCTGTAGGCGGAGGAGGAACTGCTCGACTGTTCGGAGGTGGTAAAGGTGGCGCATTGTTGCGTGCCGGCGGAGGAGGTGGAGGTTGCGGGATGAACAACGCAGAATGCGATGGCGTTTGTCCTGCTTTGGGCGGTAAAGGCGGTGGGGGCCCAGCAAAGGGAGCTGGTGTCTCACGGCTGGGTGGCGGAGGAGGAACAGGTCCACGACTCGGTGGTGGGGGAGGTGCCGAGGATTTGCGTTCCCCGATGAATGGCGGAGGAACTCTGAACAAACCTCCCTGTGGTTGTTCCTCCTCGATTGGAGTTTTCGGAGGACGAGGAGGAGGCGGAGGCCCTGGATTTGCAAGGGAGCCTGAGGAAGCGCGGGCTCGGCCAGACGGGTGAATTGCTGGACCTTCTTTCACAGCGAACTTGCCGGCATCTGCAATAGGCGGAGGAGCGCGGAATCTAGGCTGTGGAATTGCTGTGGGAGGAGGAGATGGAGTCCTTGCTGCCGGAGGAGGGCTCGACTGAGGAGGTGAAGGGGCCCTCCCTCCTACAGGTCTTCTTGATGGCGGAGGAGCTGGAGGAGGGCCTCTTCGGCTCGACGAAGAGGCCGTACCGGTATTTTCAGGGCTAATCCTCGACGGGGGCACTGACGGAGGCGGCGGAGGCGGCCCCCTTGATCTTGTCTCAGGAGCCGTCCCTATCGGCATGGCCGAAGCAATTCCATTCGCAATTCCTTCTGCCTGCTTCTCTTGCACATAGCGCTTGATAAAGTCTGCGTTTTGGGCGATCTGGTCTTCGGTGATGCCCATTTGCAGCAGTTCATCCAAGATCGGTCTCCATGATGGATCTGTAAGGTCGATTGTATCTGCACTGCTATGAGGACGGCCGGCTGGGGCAAGGCCGGGGCTGTAAATTGGCTGAGGGGCAATCTGTTGCGGCTGTTGAGAGGCAGAGCTGTGCCGGTGGCCACGGAACAAGTTGCTAACGCGACTGTGATGTTTGTGCGTACTTCCAGGCACATGCACCTGGCCTCCTCCGGCGGCAGATGCGAATGGCTGAGCTTTTGTATGTTTACTGGCATTTTTCTCGCGCTCATCCATCTTTTTCTTGAATTGTCGGGCCTCTTTCTCGTCGGCAAAGGATAAGCCCGCGAGGCATTGTTCGAGTTCAAAGGAATGAAAGAATGTCCGATCCTGATTGTACTGAAAAGTGTCGTATATTTCTTGATCCCATATCACGCCTCGGTTTGCAGGAGAGATGTCGACGAGTTTGATCCAGAAAGTGTTTCCCACGAGGTCGTTGGAAAGGACAGCGGCGCCTTGAAGGCCGGTATAGGTCCATGGTCTGCCATTGGGGAGAGCGACATAGAGACGAGCAACGGCTACGGCTTGAATCTTGTTGGAAGCCTTGGGTACAGTCCGCTTCACCGTCTCCTTGTCAGCGTCGGAGAGGATCGAGGGCATATTGGGCGGGAGACAGTGCTTGCATACGGCAAAAGGGGAAATAGGGACTGGAAAAACAAGTGGCCGTTCTCCAGCAGAATACAATCAAGTTATAAAGAAACAAGAGAAGACGGCTAGAGAATTGCAGACTGACATAGAACCATACCAAGTTGATTGAACGGAGGAGGCAACTCCCAAAGGGCTCTGGCTGTCTGTGCTCAGCCGAGACAAAAGAGAAAGGCTCAAGAGGGCTTGAGAGCCGCGTGGCATTTCGGCTCGGATCAAATCTCGTTAGGCGTCTTGGACTCTTGGGGAGTCCCTGCGGGGCCGATGTGGTTACTGGCACCAGGCAGTTACTCGGGGTGCTTTATTCAAGGCTAACCAGGCCCATCCCTGTGCCCCGTTTGTGCTTGGGGGCCGCTTAGTTAAACCCAACAATGCAATTGGTTGGGCTTGGCGGGCTTCCGTCACTGACTCCCCCTTCTGCAACACCCCACATCTCGACGTCATAGCACTGGTAACATGGTTTGCGGTGCAATCGCAGGTGTAGACGCAAAAGGCTGACGGTGTCATGATCACGCAACAGCTCAGTGGCACAACTATATAACCCTCTTGAACTTCTTCCTTCATCTCAGATCAGTTTTGAAAGAGCACCTCACCACAGCAACCACGTCAAAAATGCCTGTCATGCCTGGCGAAGAAAACACCGACTCACACGTCTTCGACAAAGTCGCCAAAGAGTCAAGCGACTCCAACGCATCTGACCACCCCCTTCACCAGGAACACCAAAAGGCACAAGCCCACCATCACCAGAGCAAGGGCCCTCAGATTTCCGAGAGTGAGTACAACATAGATCTGTGACTGAAATGATCGAGAGAGCTGACCGCCCTGACTTGGTAGATATTCCTGCTGAGACGAAGAGCAAGGATGAACTAAAGGCCCAGGCGAAAGAGATGAACAAATAGATCTCACATGAATAGTGAGAATGACACAAAGCATCATGGTAACGATAACAAAAAATGGTGAAAGGGATAAGCAAACAGCGCCCAGAATCACCCATAGGAATGGAACGAATCATTGAGACACCAGAACATGTCCTTTCATTGCTCCTGTGATATCGCCAGAATACACAGTATGCACGTGTGGCTCCATTCGAAGTTACCCCTGGGCTTGCCCCGGTGTCAGTTCCGTCGCTGTGCATTGTAAAGATCTGTTTGCGGATAGTCCGTGGTTCCCTTTTGACCTCATCATAACCTTTTGGCACGCTTGTCGGGTTGTTTGCCATTGCCCTTTCGCTCCCAACTTCTGTCCAACCCTCCATTTCACTCAGTGTCTTTAGTTGCCAGGGTCCTCTTCGACCTCTCTTCACCGGTCACCGATTTGCGCGAAGTTACATCGGTAGGCGCTGCCTTGGGAGTTGGACCTGGTAACGTGATTGAAAATTGGACAAGGCGACGGCACGTCTTCTCAGCGTCTCTCTTAGCAGTCTCTTGGGTTTCGTTTCCAGATTCCTTGTCCTGCACTTTGGCAGGATTAACCTCCTCCATTTTGTTGATGATTGCCCTATTAGTTCCAGCCTGGTCATCGTTGCCACCGTCGCCGGCTGATGCTGGTAGCCTCTTCTCGTCTTTTGCCTCCTCTGCTTGCTTGCCATCGCCCTGTGGATGCTCACTGTAATGCCACAACTCTTTCAAGTCTCCCTTCACCAAGGCAGTGCCCCAGAACGACAACAGGACTCCAGGAACGAGATAGAGCAGTGCTGGCTGCGCATGTTGTGTAACCTGCATCACAACAACCGTCACAACCATTCCAGCTAGGTAACCCAGTAGGGTCGCGCAGAGGTACGGTTTGGGAAACCGCTTGGCCCTCATCTCGTTCGTCCACAGTTTGGAAGTGGTCCAGAACCGCTCTCCCCAATTTCCTGTTGCGCTGGTGTAGGTCGGCTTCAATGCATCTTTACCTATCTGTTGTCTGTCTTTGGCTTGCCGAAGATAGTATAAGTACAAATCAAACCTCAAAGCAAAGGCCAGCATCATCCCCGGCACAACAATATCCCCCAACCCCAACATCGCCATGGTTCTCTTCTTCGCCAGACACTGCAAGTACTCTTCCATTTCCGGCGATCCTTCCGGTGCACCCACAGGAAACACGCAGCTGTCAGGCCGAGGGAAGAGCAGCTTGATTGGTACATCCAGTTTCGTCGCCACGGCGACCATCATCGGTGTAAAGAACACAAAGTAAATGTCATAGAAGAAGAGAGCGCTGAGCACAAGCGTGCCGGTCCAGGCGGTCGTAGGTGTCATATACTGCAAGGAACCGTAGCAGAAGGAGAAACCAAGGAGGTTGGTCAGGAACCAGGGCTTCGCGACAAACGTGTGAACATAGACAACGCCAATGGAGAGAATGAGGCTGGCTATGTCCAGAATTTCGATTAGCGTCTTGATGGTAATCAATTCGTGGATGTGGAACTCGAGTCGTGCTTTCGTATATAGGAGCGCTCGTAGATCCCAAACAAGCGATACAACGGGTGAAGGAAGAGGGATTCGTCCTACAAAACCCGGAAACGGTGAGCGGGTGCGCGTTTCATTCTCCGCCCTGAAGCACCGTTCCTTCTGGTCCACCTTCCACAGCATGCCTGCACGGGAGTACTCATTTGGAAGCAAAAAGGACCTCGCCACAGTAAAGCAATCCTTCAGGAACTTCATCGCGAAGAAGAGGCCGATCTGCGAGAAGTAGATGCCCAGAGCCCAGTTCAGCCAAGCGGGATCTTGGAGCCACTTGAGAATGAAGTATAGAGATGCCAGAGTAGCACCAGCCATGATAGGAAATAATATCGCGTCAGAAGGGGTGAGATTTTCAATTCTGGTTTGGGAATCCTCGTCATCAACTTCTCCAGTGGCGCATATTTTCGATTTCTTCGATGCCGCCGATGGTGGTCTAGAAAGTGAAGCGTGAGCGGCTGTGTAGATGGGGAAAATTGCCGATATGAGGAGATGCAGGTAAGTTGGCAAAAGAGGTCGCATGCTTTCATAATGATAGGCGACTATGCCTAGAAAATCCACGACCGGACCGGGCTCTGAAGCCATTTCTGGGGGTTTATGTGAGCTTGGGAGAAAAGAGCGAGCTGATCTCGATAGGCGATGTGTCCTTGAAGGTGATCAATGGAGTCCTCGGGCGGACAGAAGCGAATTGAAGTATCGCGTGAAGAAGACTTACGAAAGGGGGAGACTCGGGATCGAGGGATGAAGTCCACCCTGAAACAAGGCTGAGGACAGACCAGCCTTGGCGGCGAGGTGGCTGCCAATTGGCGGATCCACACAGTACGAGGCTGAAGTCGCCAACGCGTGGCACGACATGATGGAGTTGCGCAAGCTAATTTTCTTGGATATCTCGTGTCTGTCTACTAGGGGTATAGTAAATGAGCAAACGGAGAGATCGCTCCTGCACTTTCTCCAGAGCCCTCTCTGCCCAAGCAACCTCCCGCCTGTATTTAGGGTAAGGCAATAGCGTTTCTATCGCCATCCTCAACGGAGCTGCGACACACTTCGGCCCTTGATCGAACATATCGCCTTGCAGTGCGTATTCCACGGACTGAAGTATATTACGACACGGTGTCGCGAAGTCCGCTCGATGTTCCAATGGTGGTAAGTGGAAAACGTTGCTGATGGTGTTCGTCAAGGGCATGCTGTCATCCACCACATCCCCTTGAGCGAAGTCCCTGGCGCCCACAAATTTCACCTGCGATTCAGCCACTACGCCGTACAGTTGCCACAATCCTTGCCACAGTATAGCTTGTACCCCCCAATAAATGACGACAGTGTTGGCGATGGAGAGATTGGGAAAATGGAAAGCCACCGGAAAAAGTAGTCCATTCTTCGGCCTGGGGTCGAGACTTTCATCTCTCGCTAGTTCCGGCCAATATAATGGTCCGTCATGGTTCTTCTCCATGCAGTCGTAAACTGACTGTAGTTCAGCGTCCAACTTCCGGCACTTCCAAATTATGTCCGTGGCGAGCTGTAATTTGTTTTTAGGATCCATATGCTCGAGCATTTCGCCTTGTCTGAGGAGCTCGGGTGCACAGGTGAGAAAGTCGTAAATCTGATCATAGGGTGTTTTCGGCCTTCTTTGCCAGGGTACCTCTTTCCACAACGGCTCTCCCAGGAAAGAAGGCTGGCATAGATCTAGCGAGTAAAGAATCTGACTTCAATTAGCACCCTCGCCCTCTAGTCTAGGCCGCAGACGACTTACGCCTTGGACTCGAAAATGTACGAAGATCGAATGCCCCAGCCCATCCATATGTGCCTCAACGCCACGGAGTTGAATCAGCTTTTGGCAGCCAAGAGTGTGACTAATGTATCCATGTTTTGATCTATTTGGACATTGGCTCATCTCGTACATGCCCAACGCCACACAGGCAGCGAGAGTCTGGTCATGGAGCATTAGGCCGGGATCCCATAGTGCTAGTTGGACTTGGTGCAAAGCCTCACGGTAAAGATTTAGGCTCTCGTGAGTAAGGCCTTCGTCACGATAGACTTCGCCTAGCTTGGCGAGAGCCAACGCCATCATCGAAACCTCTAACGCAGGGACAAGATCAGGAAGCGTGGGGATTTGTATTAGCCACACCCTCTGCTGCATGGGTCCCAGCCTGTTTTTTGACAGGTGTTTATCCAGGTACGCCTCCAAAAAGCGCTGTCGGAGCGCGGGGTTGGCGTTGACTTGTGTTCCCAACTTAATAAGAGATGCGACTGGATCGGAATGGACTCTACTTGGCGATGAGATGTTTGTCACTCCATTGGCATCCACAGGTTTTTGCCGAGTTCCATGGTGATGTGTTGTCGAATCAAGCGTAGGTTTCTGGTGCTTCGCTTGCTTCGAGTCGTCCTCCTTTGGTGGCTGATGAACAATGAAGATGGGGTATTTTCGGTATCCAGTGCATATTCTGTTCGATTTGATGCATTGAGCACAAGAGGGCTTTTCCAACCCGCACTATCAGCGATTGCGATTAGCTAGGCCCCTCTCATCCGTATGCAAAATGACATGGATTACTGCAATCTTCCGCTTTCTGCAGGTACCACAACCACGGGCTCTTGCGATCCCAACCATGGGAGTCTTCGCCAAGAGTTAAATGTAGCTTATAAAAATGCTTTTAGTTTCTTGAAAGGGCGGTAGCAGCGAGAGTTGAGAAGATAGGTTCTGAAGTCGTCGGTGTTCAGAAGAGGGACTTGGGAGGAATTGGGGCACTTTGCGAAAGCGAAAGTAAAAACGAAGAGCCAAGCAGCGTTCATCAGGTGAGAAATATCATTGACCTTGATTCCACCGCACAAATAAAAGTGATAGAACCGACCTAATTGGTCTTGACATGTGGTCCGAGGAGAGGTTGAAGGGGACAGCTGGTCATCAATTGAGGAAACGCCTGGTTAGCCTTTACCACCACTTGAGGTTTCAGCGACTGTCCACTAAACCGAGAAGAGAAGATTGTGCGAGCCAATTGAAACTTGAGCTACGGAGACATCTCCAGGGTATTGCTCTGCCGTAGGGTTTATCACGTGATACCGCGAGGCACTACTTTGAGCCACTGGCTTGCCAAGTCCAGATTCCGCGCTTGACGCGTCAATTTCTCCCGAAACTTGGCACGCCAGTACCAGTACCGAATACCATGCACGTCTCAAGGGACCAGGATCTCTTAACTATCCGCGCCGATTGCCTTTTGATCGCATCATGCCACGACCCCAATTAAGACAGACCGCAAGCATTACAGATCTGCGCTTTACCCTGAGACGCGTCTTTGGCAAGGCCGCATTCCGACCACTCCAGGAAGAGATTATTACTGCTGTGCTGGCTGGACATGATGTGTTTCTCTGCGCTGCCACATCCTTCGGCAAGTCACTATGCTACCAGTTACCTGCTGTTGTGTCCCTCGGGGTCACTGTCGTTATTTCACCCCTCCTAGCGTTGATGGAAAACCAGGTCCAAGCAGCCAAGTCATTGGGTATCGCTGTCAAGAGTATTAATGGCAAGACTGAATGGTCTGAAAAAGTCCGAATCGAGACGGACCTCCTTTGCGGACATCCAGAAACCAAGCTTCTCTACGTCACCCCGGAGCTTTGCGCACAGGACCGGTTTCGAAAGCTCATCATGAAAGTCCATCGCCAGGGCCAACTTGTGCGAATTGCTGTGGACGAGGCACATTGCATTAGTGAATGGGGCCATGATTTTCGTCCGTGCTACAAAGAGCTAGTATGGCTGAAGACGAACCTCACCTGTCCCACCGTACCTATGATGGCGGTGACTGCGACTGCTACAAAACAAGTGCGAGAAGACATTTTCAAATTTCTAAGCCTTGATATTGACAAGACCAAATGCTTCTCCACTTCCACTGCACGGCCAAACATTCATTATGAGATTCAATACTTTTCAGAGTCGAACCCAAAGAATGGACAGGATGACCTGTTTCCATACCTTCTAGCAAAATTGGACTTCATGCATCAGAGACGGCTAATAAAGCTCAGATATCAGAAAGAGCAGTGTGCGACAGCTACTGTGCCTCCGATCACTGGCATTATCTATGTCCCGCTTCGTGCAACAGCAGACACTCTCGCCTCAGAGCTGACTGCCGCGGGGATTCGAGCATGCGCTTACCACGCCGGTTTAGATATGGAAAAACGGGAGAAAATACAGAGGACATTTATCAGATATGCCACTTCGAATCCCCATCTGCTGCAAGTCGATGACGACCAAAGTATGATGAGCTCTTTCAACATCATCTGTGCCACCACAGCTTTTGGCATGGGTATCGATGTCCCCACTATTCGGTTTGTGATTCACTACGGCCTTCCGAGAGGCATGGAGTCATTCACACAAGAGTCAGGACGTGCCGGACGGGACAACAAAGCAGCATCAAGCATAATAATGTACACTCGAGAAGACAAAGAGCGGTGCGAGTATCGCACCACATGCGAGGCAGCTAAGAACAAAAGCCGGGCCAAGACCGAATCAAGATTTCAGTCGCTCCGCAGCATAGTCGAATTCTGTGAGAATACGGACTGCTGTCGTCACATGCTGGTCTCTCGATATTTCGGAGACAAGAGTGGCTCGGCGGAGTGCCGCCTTGCATGCGACGTGTGCAAGGAAGGGCCAGCCAAGTTAAAGAAACGCAAGGAAAAGGGCCTGGCAACGGAGGCAGAAGCGATGGAATTTACACAGAGGGAACCGATTTTGGATTACGAGTCCGAATAACGAGAGCACAGCTGGGAATGAACGACCTTTGGTACCCATGAGATATGATATAGGAGGTGCGGGAAGTCCACGATACGAAAACCGAAAATGGGGGTTCTGACCTTGTCAATATCGGGTCAGGTACTGAGCATAATAGACACTTCAGTCTCATAATTCGCTGCTCCTGATACCAGAGCGCTGGTCTGTACACATAATTCATGACTCCCAACCAAGTCATGCCTTTCTCCATCACAAGAAGCCTTCGCCGGGTAGTTAACTCTTGAGATTGTAATAACCTCCCCCGAACTCCACTAGCCACGCTTTCTCTACCTTGGAAATATCCTTGATATAAACCTTCTCCCCCGTCTCCAATAATTCATGAAACACCACATACTCTGCTTTCCGATTGAACAGGAGAGAAGTCGGGTGTGCGTGCATGGTGACATTTCCTGACACGGATTTGAACGTCCCATCGGGTTGCATTTTTGCTGCTTGCGAGAAGTAGCCTGTTACTAGGCACTTTAAGATATTCGTGGCTTTGTCCTTCTGTTGAGTGTTGAGAGTTGTGGCTGATTGTGAATCGTCTACTTTGACCCCCAACCTCTCAAGATATCTCCTCAGCTGATTTCTAATGCTCACAGCTCTTTGCATCGACTTGAAATTTAGATGGTGCTCATGACACCATCTTGCCTCTCGTTTTCCATTTGTTATAAACGCTTGGTATACATTCAACAGCGTCAGTTGGTCACCTTCCTCGGCAGCGAATTTCCGTCTTGATGAGTCCATGGCCTTTTTCTCCCCATTGTGATGGAACCAGACATTTCCTTGTAGAGACGTCATCGCCGCGAGGGTGAGCATCTCGCTTTGACAGTCGAATTGTGGCGAGGAGGAGGTGAGGAGACATTTAGCCATCATAGGCGGGATTGCGCTGAGCTCGGCCATGCGTGTCCCCAGTGGAGAAGTAAGCTTTGCATAGTCATCCACTGCGCCCAGAGAGTAGAGCAGATCGAAAGCACGGGCGAGGAGTTGCGAGGGTGGCGGTGAGAGAAAGTCAAAACGCACGATGTTGTCAATACCTAAGGCTTTCAGTTGGAGGACTACGGGTGCGAGATTTGACCGTTGGATCTCGGGGGTGGTTGTTGGGAAGAGTGATGAGTAGGATTGCTGCGTGTAGAGGCGGAAACACTTGCCTGGTCGCGTACGTCCTGCGCGGCCGGCTCGTTGAGTTGCGGAGGCCTTTGATGTGGGAAAGGGTGTCAGAGTTTCGATGTTCGTGTTCGGATTAAATGCGCGCAGTTTCACAAATCCACAATCGACGACGTACACAATACCGGAGATGGTGACGGATGCTTCCGCAATATTCGTAGCAACGATGACTTTCCGGGTATTTTCCGCTGCTTCGGAGAAGACGTACATTTGATCTTCTATGCTGAGGCCTGAATAGAGTGGGAGAGGCTGGAGGGCTTGTGCTTGTTGGGATAGTGTTGATGCTAGGTCCGAGAGCTTTTGCACGGCTCTTTCGATTTCTTCCCTGCCGGTCAAAAATACAAGAATATCTCCAGGTGGCTCTTGCCGGTGGATTGTGAAGGCCGTTTGTACGGCTTTCTCTACGTAATCGTCCGCAGGTTGGTCTAGGTAGAGAATATCCACGGGATATGTCCGACCTTCGATGCTGACGATTCGACATTGTTGCTCATTTTCAGAAGCATCGTGGTCCCTAAAGAAATCTGCGAACCGTTCTGCCTCAAGGGTCGCGCTGCTGACGATGATCCTCAATTCAGGTCGTCGCTTTTTCACCTTCTTCAGCAGACCGAGCAGGATATCGGAGCTGAGTGACCGTTCATGAGCTTCGTCAATCATGATGACGGAATACCTCGTAAACAATGGATCAACCAAGGCTTCTCGCAAGAGCATGCCGTCGGTGAGGAATTTGATGCTTGTCTTGGCCGATGTGACATCTTCGAAGCGAATCGAGTAACCGACTCGTTCACCCACTTGGCATCTCATCTCTTCGGCAACTCGAGTGGCCACAGTAGTGACAGCGACCCTTCTGGGCTACAGGAACATGATCAGCATAATCTGGGCGATCCGAAGAAGTCGACTGACAGACCTGAGTGATTGCTATACATTTTCCGTTGGCGCACCATCCCGCCTGTTCCAGATACTGGGGGAGCTGAGTGGTCTTTCCGCTGCCCGTCTGACCCACTAGCACCGTGATCTGATGTGTTTCAATGGTGTAGAGTAGACTCCCCTTGTGCCTGGAGATGGGCAGGAGAGCCGGAGGGGTGTATAATGCTGGGATGAAGGACAAATCAAAGTCTGACATTGTGTGAACAAGGTTGAGAATTCATGCCCGATTATGGCTTCCCGAACATCAATCTCTGCGCCAACTCAGGAGCTTTGGATTGGGATTGGGGTGGATGGACGACAGAAAACATGTAGGTTGCTGTTGTCAAGAAGTGATGTTCGCACCGCCACAGACTCTTACATATCGAGTATGTACTTGTTACACACAAAGACGGCGGAGACGCCACAATCAACGTCATTGCAGCCGCTGCCAAGGACATGGGGCCAGCACCAGCACCAGCACCAGCACCAGCAACAAAGTCAGGAAGGGTCAAATCCGACCCCACGCCATCTCGCTCTCAGAAACATGTGTTGTCTCTGGATTTATTCAGCTGCCTTGAGATGCTAAGACACTCGTACATTCACTCCCTACTCCATTGAAAAGCCATTCAGAATTGCAAGTGGGAAGACAACCCCAACTCTCAATATGTCAAGCAACAATCCCGTAAGAGATATTCCCGATGTTGCTCTGCATGCAATACTCCTTCTGACACTGCGCAGCCCTCACCTGTGTCACCACTGAAACCGTCCGATGGACCCCCAGAATCTCCAACTACCGCTCGCCCCTTGGATTTCGACAGCGACCAAGAGACCGGCACTATCGAGGCGACTACAACATCCAAGGCAGAGTTATCATCGCTGCCTAAACCTCCTCCCAAAGACGAAGTCGCTCCACCCGCCAAACCTCCACGACCGATGTCTCCGCGAGAACAGGCCGAGCTCACGTTGAAAGAAGCCTTCCCTACGATTGACTCTAACGTCATTCGTGCAGTCCTCACCGCAAGCAGAGGAGAGATTGAACCTGCATTTAATGCCCTGCTTGGGATGACGGACCCCGAATCCCAACGAGAACCAGAGCCCTTGCCTCCAGCCAAACCTCCTCGTCCCGCCCAGCAGCAATCTCCCACGTCTACGAAGCTCAGCCAACTAGAAGCAGATGAGCTCTACGCCAGGCAGTTGGCTCAGGAATACAACGCTAGTGTCGGTACCGACAGAGAGCAACCAAGGCGTCGCGATTCCAGGGGAAGATACAACGAAGGTCTACCGGGATCGAGGCCAGGTCGACCAGGGGCAAGCCCAAACCCTGATGATGTGCCATGGCGGAGCTTTATCGATGGTAAAACACCCTTTCAGTCGTAATGCAGACACATACTAACATATGGTGCAATAGATGATCTTCCCGAAATCCGTGACAATATCCGGAAAGGCTTCATGGAAACGCAGAAGACCGTGAACAGCTGGATCAGCGCATTCAAGAAGAAGATAGATGGTGATGACGATGATGCCGAGTTCGAACAAGGCCAACCTCCTCTTCCTGCCCGGCCATCAGCACAATCGCCATTCACAGGCCGCCGGAGCGCCGAGATGCGCCGTAGTGCAGACCTCCAACGCTACGACGCCGATATGCAGCCTATCGGCGACGACTTTTCAAAACTAGAACTCCGTGACGGCGAAGCTCCGCCACGCACATCGAGCCGGCCAATGGCTAACCCAAACCTTTTCCGTTCTGCGGGCGTTCAGGGACCAGATCGTCGACCCTCGCCGGGCACGAATCGCAAGGTGTCCTTCCAAGACGGCCCACCCGAGGAGATCAGGGACATGTATAGCGCCTCGCCAAAGCCCACGGGGGCGGCGTCGACGACGACAAAATCGAGCAAATGGCAGCCCTTGCAAAGTATCGACCCGAGCCCCGTGACGGAAAACGACCCGTTTAGCTTGGGCGATAGCGACGAGGAGAGGGATGCCAAGGTGATCACGTTGAGGGATGACGAGACAGACGTGAAGAAAGATGAGGCGAAGAAGGCGAATGATGAAGACGCACAGGTTAAGAAAGGGACGGAGGCGGCAATGAAGGAGACTATAGGGGCAGACTCGAAGTGAAAGAAAGCGGATCGCATCGACATGAGAGAGATAAACCCACGAAGGTCGACAGGGTTGACGGAAAATTTGGACACGCGACGAGGTGCGGAGGAATTTTCACTCTTCCCATGCGAAGATCGAAGAGTTACATTCCAACTGTTATGATGAAATGATAGAATGATCCAATCCAATCCTATCTGATCTGACCACAATGCGTCTGACTGATCAGTATATGGGCCTTTGAAAGAGAAGATGCCTCATCATCTAGACCATCCTTGCTAGAACATTTACCATGCGACCATCCTTTACTCCATGACACATATCGTGCTCTCCGTTTGGGAGCCACTCTGCTCTGCTTTTGTATTCTCAGATCTTGACATCACCTGCTTTGCCGGTACTGCCCACCGCGTCCATCATCCACTCGATGCGCTCCTGGATCAGCTTGGTGCCCTCCTCCATGAACTCGGTCAGCGGGGTCCTGCCGGCCTTCTGGCGGGCGTACTCCTCGTATTTCCACAGCACGATCTGGTTCACGTTTAGGCGGGTCATGCCGGCGGCGACGCACTGCTTGAAGATGTCGGCGGTGAACTCGTTGGTGCCGTGCATCACTAGCGTGACCTTGCCGCGCGAGGCCTCACGGATGGACGCCAGCCGCGGGAAATCCAGCTTGATGTTCTCGACGCCGTTGTACGGCCCGTGCACGTTGCCGATGGCCGGGGCTAGGAAGTCAATCCCCGTGTTGATGAACTGCAGTGCCTCTTCCGGCGTGGTGAGGATGCCCTCGAGGTCGCCCGTATCCTGCACGCCTGCTTCGCCGCCATTGATCCGCCCCGGCTCAGCCTCGGTAGCGATGCCCAAGTCGTGGCAGTATTTCACCAGCTCGGTGGTGCGGGCGAGGTTCTCTTCCTTCTCGTAGTGCGACATGTCCACCATGATGCTGTCGAACTTGCCCGTGTGCGCAGCCCGTTTGATGGCCTCCTCGCTCTGCGCGTGGTCCAGGTGCAGTGACATGGGCACTTTGGCGCTCCGGCACACGTCCGCGGCCAGATTCACCATGTTGTCATAAGCGTACTCTTGCGCCCAGGGAAACAGGAGGATCTGGCAGGGCGAGTTCTTGGCCTCGGCGGCCTTGCGGCAGGCAATGATGGCCTCGAAGTTGTAGCAGACAACGCCGGGCACGCCATATCCGCCGGCTTCGGCGGCCTCAAGGATGCGCACCGAGATGTTTTGGGAGAGGTCCGGCATCTTGTATACGTTGTGCGAAGAGGAGGGAGAATTCAGGATCTGAATCGAGCGAGGGAAAAGATATACAGGTCGAAGGGGATTGCGAATCGACTTGCTGTGTCTTTCAGCGGAGCGTGTCAAACATAAATAATCCTGCTCTCCGGGTGCTTTTCAGAATTGTAGCAAGTTTCTTCTCTATCTCTCTCAAAGGATTGATCACTTCCAACAAAAGATACTTATGCTGCTGCCGATGCCGTAGTAAGAAGCAATTGCCGAAAAAGTTTCCCACCCTAGATATGTAGCTCTGTTTGGAGGGAGGCTTGATCAGTCAATCAGTCAATCAGTCAGTACGCGATCGGTTTTTGGGTCCCCAAAGTCCCCGTTTTATTGAGGCGGTCGGCAACATGCCGTATGAGAGAGAAAAGACTCTCGCCGTCCACCCACATTTCCCAGTAGTGCCAGTGTTTGAACCATGATAGAAGAATGATGTCGCCGGCGTTTTCTCCGCATGCGGGGCAACAAATTCATCTTTCATAGAAATAAATAGTAATGTCGGCGAGGGGCGTCAGGGGGCTTCAGGGGCTTCGAGAAGCCCGGCCGAAGAAATCAAGCACGCCTTTAGTTATTGTTTTCTTTTCCCTCTTGTATATTAATTTCCACTTTCATCCTTTATTCCCATAGCATCCATATCCCACACTTAGGAGAGGACCCGAGCGGTCTACCCCCCGAAGGATAATTCTACTCCCCTCTGGAAACCGATCAGATCCTTGTGTTCAGTTGCCTGACCGGCCAAGATCGGCTTCGACCCCGACGGGCGATAGGTCCACAATGGACCGATTCCTGTGGTGGCAATCCGGTCGGTCGACTGCACACCTTGTCCCTAGTAAGGAGACGAGGCAGGGACAGAGACCGATAATAATGCACGTGTCACAGCGTGGGAAGGGAGTTGGAACTCTCGCGTGCGAGGTATGTAGGTCAATGGCAAGATTCAGAACGGACCAAAGGAAGATCAAATTGATGGTGTTGATAGGAGAGGTTTGAAATGACGGCTGCTTTTTAACGCATCATGTCCATGTGTCCAGCTAACTACTCCTCTTGCACAGTCCTCTTTTCCCTTACGCCTTTGCTGCCCATCGAGTCTTCCTATCCCAGCTGTTCTTGCTCCTTCATATACTCAATATACTCCCGCACCGACTGTTCAAAACTATCCGGCTTTTTCATTCCCAACTTATATGCTAATGAGTTGTCATACTTGACAGCCCATGTATACAGAATCTTCGCAATGGGCTCATCATGTTCCTCTTTGACGTACTTGAGTTTATCCTCGCCTCCGACTTTCGCCAGTGCGTCGAGCATGTCTTGGATCGTGACCACATGTCCTGGGGCATTGACGACGCGCTTGTGGCTCGGCAACGCGTCCGGAGGAAGTGTGAGAGTGTAGACAAGATTGTGGATCAATGTCTTTGGTGAGCACACGTGGCTAGGGAACGCTCTATCCTTGACAGGCAAAACACACTCCTTACCCGCCAAGGGCTCGCGGATGATTCCTGAGATAAATGCCGACGCGGCTGGCGCTGGCTTTCCTGGCCGAACAGTAATAGTGGGAAATCGGATGATGATTGCATCGATGTAGCCCCGCCGGGTCATGTCGTTGATGAGGATCTCGCACATGAACTTGGCGGCGCCATAGGAGCCTTCGGGTGTGGGGAGGACGTCTTCCGTTATCACGTCAGGTAGAGGCCGACCATAAACGGCGCCGCTGGAAGAGTAGATGACTCTCAGCCCTGGTCGAACTTTTCGGATTGTTTCGAGCAGCAATCTCGTCGATTCCAAGTTGACACTCATACCCAAATCGAAGTTGGCTTCGGAGCCGGCCGACATGATTCCATGGAAGATGTACGCCGCGTCCAGATCCGATGTGACCACACTGCGGTCTTTCAGCAGATCCGCCTTGATGCATGTCGCGTTTTGCGGGTTCTTGGCCCCTTTGGGGACCGGCACATCGACGATGTCTGTGAGGACAACTTTGTGCTCTGGATTGGAGAGCAGTTCACGGGCGAGGAATTGCCCTAGGAAGCCGCCTGCTCCTGTGATAAGGATCTTCATCTTGAATCGAAGAACAGCGTGTTGTCGAACAATCTGTAGCGTGCCTTCGCTTCTGTTGTGTCCCCGTTGATCTGACCCCCAATGGTGGTATGGTGCAGCGACAGATGCTTCGTTTTACTTGTCCTCGATTCAGGTTGAGCCTTGCACAGGCTGAGTCGTCGCCAACTCACAGATATATCGTATTTCAAGAAGTGTGGCGTTTAAAAAGGAAAAAAAAAATCCCAAGAATGCAGTGCACGGTGTTCCTGCCGCCAAAAAGGGCGCTTTATTATGCCCAGCAGTGCTGAAGGGTCCTCCATGTTTTGGAGAAAAGTGGTCGGGATGCCGGTATATTGCCCCGGTGGCTGAACGATGGTGATGATGAGGGGGGGCAAACACCAGCGGGGAGAAAATGAGAAAATCCGTGCCATGAAGCTTCGGGTCATCTTTAGGCGAACAATAATGGAGGTAATGGGCATGGCAATGCCCCTGATGGGAGAATCCTCTCTAGGAGAAAGGATCGACAGAGTCCCCGATGCTAAACATTCATCTCAAAGAAATACGTTCCTTGACCTGGTTCACATAACTATTTGCATACTTCACAAAGGCATATATTTGTCAGTTGACTTGCATTTTGGCACAACAAGGAAACCCAACCCTTTTCGATCTGCATTTGACTTGTGTACACTTCCTCCTTCTCTTATCGGCTCCGGACTACAGCAAGGTCGAGTTAAGCCTCATGCTACCCGTTGCTCTTGCTGTCCCAGGCTGATTTTCCAATCCATTTCCCTCTTTTTACTCTCCAATCATCAACCGGCTTACAATTTGGCCACAGGCTGTGACGATCCTACAGTGGTGATCTCGTTGTACAGCAGACTGCGAACAAGAATGTTAGTTATAGGAAATACAACTGGGAAGAATAAAAGCAAGCATACCTCGTCAAGAAATCAGCATAGTCTTCGCCCGTCACTTGAGTCTCGAAATATCGAGCGGCGACCTGATACTTGTTACCCTTGGGCGCCTTTGACGCCAATTCCTCCGCCTGCTCCCTCAACAACTTGAGCGCGTAAGCCTTGTCGACAGTGCGGCCCTCGGCAGTCTTGACACCGTGTTTGACCCACTGCCACAGCTGCGAACGTGAGACTTCAGCCGTGGCGGCGTCTTCCATTAGGTAGTTGATAGGCACACAGCCGACGCCGCGAAGCCAACCTTCCATGTATCCGAGACCAATGTTGAGGTTCTTTCTGATGCCATCCTCGGTCACGGTTCCCGGCATGTTCATGTTCAGCAGGTCGTTCTTTGTGACATAGACGTCTTCGCGGCGCCGGTAGAGCTGGTTGGGGGTAGGCATGTACTTGTTGAACACATCGGAGGCAATGGATGCCAGAGCGGGGTGAGCAACCCAGGTGCCATCGTGACCAGCCCGGACTTCACGGAGTTTGTCTTGTCGGACATTCTCCATAGCCTTGTCATTGGCCTCGGGATTGTCCTTGATGGGGATTTGAGCAGCCATGCCACCCATGGCGTGCACACCACGGCGATGGCAGGTCTTGATGAGCAGACGGACATAGGCGTCCATGAAGGGCACGGTCATAGTGACCGCGGATCGGTCAGGGAGGACGAAATTGGGGTTCTGGCGGAATTTCTTGATGACGGAGAAGATGTAGTCCCAGCGGCCGCAGTTCAGACCAGCCGAGTGGTCGCGGAGCTCGTAGATGATCTCATCCATTTCAAAGGCGGCGGTGATTGTCTCGATGAGAACTGTTCCCCGGATTGTGCCTCGCCGCATGCCGATGTAGTCCTGAGAAAGGTTGAAGACGTCGTTCCAAAGTCTCGCTTCGAGGTGAGACTCCATCTTAGGGAGGTAGTAGTATGGGCCAGTGCCTCGCTTGACCAATTCGAAGGCATTGTGGAAGAAGTACAGGCCAAAGTCGAACAGTGAGCCAGAGATAGGCTCGCCGTCGACAGTGAAATGCTTCTCGTCCAAATGCCAGCCCCTTGGTCTCGCGATCAGTGTAACCGACCGGTCTGTACGGAGCTTATATTCTTTCTCTCCTTGTTTGAAATCAATCTGCCTGCGGATTGCATCGTAGAGGTTCACCTGGCCGGAGACCTGGTTATCCCAGGTGGGAGCTTGAGCGTCTGAGGCAGGCAAAGCCAATCAGCAGCTGCGACTTTCTGTAGGGTTCTAGGCAATCTCTTACCTTCAAAGTCGGCCATATAAGTCCACACATTGCTGTTCAAAGCATTGACGACCATTTTCCGATCCGTTGGTCCGGTGATCTCGACCCGGCGGTCGATGAGACCCGGAGCAGGAGGAGCACCTTTCCAGGCGTCATTGTCGCGAATGTGCTTGGTTTCCGGGAGGAAATCAGGGAGGTTGCCCTTGTCGAGCTCCTGTTGTCGAATCACTCGTCTTTGGAGCAGAGCTTTGCGGGTGCCATTGAAGGTTCGATGGAGGAGGGCGAGGAAAGCCGTGGCCTCGGGGGTAAGGATCTTGCGATATGAGTCCTTGACGGCGCCATTGATGGCAACTCCCTCATTGATGCTTTCGATGCTGGCCATTCTGGCTGGTGTGTAGGATTTAGAGAGGAGAATGAAAGTCAGAAGAGGAATTGAGGTGGTGAGTGGCGGGCACCGAGGCAAGGGGAGCTGAGGAGGTTGATATAATAGTATACGTCAGAGCAGCACAATGCCCGAAACCGTTAGAGGCTCATCGTCGACGACTTGTCCGGGAGGAGATGTGCCCGTTGTGAGGTCCCTCGCCTTGCTGCCCAATCATGGAAGTTCCAGTGGGTTCCGATGAGGCCAGAAGAGCCCACAAAGCCCATCAGAGCCGGGGCATGTGGATAAGATCAGCCACTCGTTACAAACAATCAGTCGACGACAAAATCATCGCCTGTGTGGGGTAATAACGGCGTCACCGTTCTGGCCTTCTTTTCCCTTTGCCCCGGCTGTCTCAACTTGCTCTGCTGCCCTTGCTGCCGGAAGATCTTTGCAATTTTCCAAGAACTTTAACATCATGTTATTGACGGTGACAGGATGTTCGGTACACAGTCCCCAGCTCTTCTCACTCTACTTGGTATCAGAATCACAATAGACAAGCACGAGCATGTGATCCGGCGAACCACGGCTGCCACCTTCATCCCACCAGAGCTCCAGAAGTGCCGAGGTTCGTCTAGGTGGCTACTTGTAGTTTCTGGTATTTTGTCCCGCAGTTCTAACAAGTGGCGCGGAATCATCCGTTGCCCTGAGCGAATCCCCGATCTATTCCGAATCGTCAATACCATGAACAGAGTCGCCAGCTCCACGACCTCGTAGTCTGCAGTCTCTTCTTCGGTTGTCTCTCTATCATCCTCAGGTGTATTGCCATGCCCCAATGTCGGGTGCATCAAGAGCCAAAGGATCGAACCCTAGGCACTGTGATACACTTCCTCTAGGGGCGGTTATATTTTTCTGCAACCGCCTGTTAGTTTGCACCGAGGCTGACGGCTAATAATAGTAGTTCCCGCTGCAAATACGAACCTGCCCTCAGCGAGGGGGACTTACCAGGTCTGCGAAGACTTGCCAGGCCCCTCCGTATGTAGGACATGCAATTAAACCCGACGCTCCGAATGTCCTCAAACCCAATCGTCCAATTGTCGCCCCTGGGGCCTTCGAGTAGGTGAAAGGACACTGGACTGATCCTTCTGGCATGAAAGTCGAATGCGCTTGAGTGTATCCGACCTCGCCGTTAGGGGTCACATATAAATATTGTCCGCCGGGAACAAGAGCGCCCTGCCTTATGTCAGTTAAGCTGTTCAATATCGTCCGAGTCCTCCCACCATCGCACAAGGAGAGAGCACGGTCTGGTTTCCAGCTGGACAATCTCCAGTCTCTTCAACGTCAGTTGGACAGTATGACACGGTCTCTCCTCCAAGGAAGAAACGATAGCCGGCAGCGTTCATAGGCAGAAGGTGGATTGGCGAGCTAATTCGCGAAGCCATGACGGTGAGCCACGAGGTTGGAGTGGTCAGTAGGCCAACGGGGGAAGAACTTGAGACCGGAGTAGTTGGACGGGATGCGGTGACGATGGCGGTCAGAGTGTTGGCTACAGTGATGACGGTGTCGCTCGCGGCAGTACTAGTGTCTGTCTCAACACAGGGCGTGGTGCTTGCTTGTGAACGAGGCGAGGCAAAGGTGGCCGCGTAGGCGAGAGACATGGACATGAGATGGAGAAGGGGCAGCATAATTGAGGATTTGGTCACTCCGGAGAGAAGCGCATTGACTGAGATGCAACTGAGATGCAACTAGAACTTGGCCAAACTTGCAGAGCAGGGAGATTGACTGGTGTGATCAAAGGAGAGTCAGGAATGTATGTCGAATATATGGACAATTGGTTCTCTACTCTCGTGGTGGTCGCCCCTTCCTGTTCTACGCCGCTGCCTTGACGGGACCTCGCAGCTTCCCTCGTCAAACCTGGTGTGACTTTCTCCTATCTCTTGAAACAGCGTCCAATGCTGATATCCGTCTCTGCTTTGGTGTTGAACCGACCATTTGCATCTTTCCATGTGCAACAGTACCATTCTTGCTCTCGGCCGTCAGCTCTGTCTATTCCCGTCCACGGGCGTCCACAGCCAACTGCTTTGTTCCCAGTTCCATGCGAATCGTACAGGCATGCGGAGTTACAACCTTTTACATGCATTTGACGGTCCCTTGGCCGTGCGAGGCGCGTCAATCGCCTGAATGGCCAATAATCCGGCGCCACCGTCCAAATGTCATGCGGCTTCTCTCGATCTGAAATACATAGCTTGGTAGGTATAGAGTGAACTCAAGATTCGTAGTCTGATCCAAATTCAGCTCTCTCTCGGACAACTGCCTGGTTTTCCTATGCGGCGAGGCAGGATTAATGGGCCTTCCGGATAATGGCATTGACTCCCTTTGAGGCAACCATAAGACAACAGAGATGACAGTGACCTGGTCAGAGATGCATGGTCCAGCAAAGGTCCACAGCGTGGCTTCCGAGTCAGATGATGGCCACCATTTCAGTGTCACTGCATGATGTTCAAGTAGCAGAGACTGGGCCCGGCAATCAAGTAAACAATGTCATCATTTACCAAGCCGGCCAGAGGAGTTTCACCACAAGGTTCCAGATTCCATATCAACTGCGTCTCGCCCGAGGACTTCGATGCGTCTGCGGTTGTTTTGCCAATGGATCCATGCCAATCCCTGCAAAAGCGAGTCGGCAAGGTCATCTAGCTTTGACATGTTCGTTGCAGCAGCTCGCTCGCCCTTAGAAACCTTGTTCCAACGTGACACAAAATCCGCTGCCTCCGGCTGAATGTCCTCTCCAATACATATTGTCGAGCTTTGTCCTCCGAGTATATTTCCAACGAGGTCAATTTTAGCCTTCTTCACATCGCGGCCGACTAGCCTTTTGTTCTTCGAGGCCAGAAGGCCCTGGCGTCCTTCAAGCCAATACCGATTGACGCGGGGAGGCAGCATTGGCTCTACGCCTAGCTGCAGTTGGTATTCCTCGACCAAAGTCCGCAGACCGGCATATAGCATGCCCTCAAAGACTCCGACTCTGAGAGTCCATTCCTGAACCGACGATTGGCCACCTGAACGGAATCTTTGTCTTTCAATCAAGATATAGTTTGGTTGGTAAGTCTGTAACATATATTTGACGAGATTGTATGCGTGGCGGGCGTAGTCAATGGGTTCGAATGATTCTTTGGTGGCTCCAGCCAGTTCGACGGCAGTGTCCTTCGAACGTTCTAGTGCTGAGCTTCTCGTGGAATTCAAAAACTCTGCCACTGCTATTCTTCGCCATGCCTGCAACGTTGGCCTGCTGTAGCGTACATGTTTAAGCGGTCGAACGACCTCCTCAACCGGAGCTGTGAGATGTGCAAAAGCCAGGTTCCTAATGCCCATATCGATGCTCAGAAGACTCAAATTTGACAAGTTGCTCCTGTTGTCTCCTTCTCCCACTGTGTTGGAGATTGCGCGATGAATGGCTTCTATACGTGCAAGCTTCGTTCCTGAACATGACGTGCCCAGTGCTGTTGCGAGTCGATGTAGCTTGTTCAGTGTTAGTTCTTCCAACCATGGCTTCGGAACGGGCATCGCATGATGGACACAGATGAACAGGTTTGCGGAGATTTATCCCTTGTGTCTAGTTTGAATTCTGGGAAAGCCTTCACCTCCCAAGTTGTGAGAAGACAGAAGAGGAATTAGCCGGGCATGACGCTCAAACTGGTTCGAGTGGGATCCAAGACGCTAGTCCGCTCGCCGTGTCCAACGAGAACGCGTCGCGTCCAAGTCGCGCGTTAATATTCCGTCATTCTAGATTCACTCTTCCCCTTTAATTTCACTTCTCGGATGGAATAAGTACATCAAGACATCCACCGAACATAGCTCATGCGGTTTTGCCCTTGGATCCATCTCCTTATACCACAAGTACGCCACGGTATCTTACGCTCCCTTCGTCTAGCTTCTTCATGGCATCTGTGACGCCTTTCTGTGTCATAGGAAACTTCTCGATGACCGGTTTGACCGAGTGTACCGCAGCGAATCTCAACATCGCCTTCACGGATTGTGGATGAGCGCCGCCGGAACCAATAACCTCATACCCGTACGTTACGAGCGACAAAGCAGGGACTGGAATATTATCCATGCTGACGGCGAGCGGGAAGATTTTCGCAAACGGCGCCAATATCGGTAGATATCTTTGCAGCGTAAGCATTCTTTCGAATCCGTGGGATGGCTAGTGTTGTACTTACAGCGAGAGATCAGGTAGCACCGAGGCCGTGATTAGTATGCAGTCGACTGGCTCGATTCCTTCGAATTTTGTAACTCCCTTGGTGGCATAGAACTCTTTTGCTCCAAACCCGAACGCTTCTCCCTTCTTGGACTCCGTTCCAGAGAAGACAACAGCCTCCATACCCATTTTCGATGCAAATTGAATAGCCAGGTGTCCCAGCCCCCCAATACCTATGATTCCAATGCGATCACCTGCTTTGAATCCATGCTCATATAGCGGCCCCCAGACAGCTGATCAGCACATTCCTTAGTATGGCGTTCGTACAAAAGATGAATGGCTAAAAGTTAGCAGGGTTGTTTAACTTTCTAGCACCACCGCACATCAATGGCCCAGCTGACTCGGAGGAAATCTCGTCCGGAATCTTGAAGAGCGTGCCTACATCCCAAGCAACACCTGTCCCAAAACAGCCTTGGTCCAAGTTGGCGGTCCCAAATTGCTCGTTGTTCAGACATTTAAAATGCCTTCCTGGAGTTGAAATTAACTTCCAGTTTCGGCGTAGCTGAAGACCAGTGCAGGGGGCTTCATCTCGAAGCTCATAGGCGACGGGCCGCTCATGAGACGATGGGTCACTCACCAGTCAAGCAAAATTTACAATAGCCACACGTTCTTTGGAGCCATCCCATTCCAACACGATCACCGATCCTCGGGTCTGATAGCTTCTCAACCAGACTTCCAATCTCCTTGATAGCACCAACACCTTCATGACCCAATCCCTGATCAACATGTCGGTAATGAGAATCAGTACCACAAACACCACAGTGCGACAGCGCGACCAGAGCTTGTGTCGGGCCTACTTCACGGTGACCCTTGGCCTCGACGATACCCCCAGACTTAGATCCCTTGAAGACTGTGAAGTCAATACCCATGGTTAATTGTTTCGAAAGAGGGCGTTTTTTTTATCTCTCTCTCTTAAGGATGATTTGAGAGAACGATCAGGATTTTTGCCCTGCGTGGATTTCGTGAGACATCGAGCCACCTGCCCTCTCTATACCATCATTGAATCCCTAAGGCCCAAGCTTGCGGTCTTGCATTGTCTGGATGGTTCCGAGACAGTACAGTTGAATAATCAGACCCTTGCTAATCAAGCTGCATTTGCTCTCTTCGTCAAGAATAGCAAAACGCCCAACCAGAACAATGCTATGGAAGGGACTCTAGCGCAGCCGGCGTTGGACCGACCAAACAATCACCACCTCCGGAAAAGGATTTGAGTGGAATATTCCACCATTAAGGATCCTGTGCCTGCGTATTCCCAGGCATCACACTCCTTGTAGACGCCGCTAGCAAACCATCCCAATCATTGTCAAGTCTTTTGCAATAGCCATTGCAAATTACCCGATCTAGAAAGAGGCAACTGATACGAATCTATTAGTCCATCGCAGCCCAGGAGAATGTAGCTTGCAGCGAAATGAGATATCTGACTAAGGTCTCAAGGGGGGCGTCACCTCGCTCTAGATGCACCAGAGCCCTCAGCCAACCGAGACAACTCGTCTATCCGCATAGACCAAGCACTAAGGACGGCAAGTCAGAACAACACAACATCAACTACTGTAATCCCCAACCCACACTGACCACAGTTTTAGGTGATCCATTATCAATGGTATTCGCCCGTTGTTCATACCTGGTCCTCCTTGTGTACAATATTTGAAAGCATGAAGGTTTCCAAGCAGTCTATTGGAAAGGTCCAAATAAGATTTCATCAAAATCCATTCCGGTGCGGAGTGCAAAGCCGCCATCCACAACATTGGTTGTGCTCCCTCTGTGCTGACGAGCTCAGTTGCAATGTACGTTGATGGAAGTCGACTCTATTCAGCCGCCAATCAATAGCATCCTGGCCTCGTATCCGAGGGTGTCGAACTACTTGGGATAAATCCCCAAGCGTTCGCAATGGCCGCCAACGGGGCAGTCAAGGTCAATCTCTCCCTTGAAGCCGTCGCAGCTCCTGCAGAGGAGGGATGTCTTCCAGCACTCCTAGTTGCAACCGATCCCACAAAATTCCACACGTTGGCTTCTCCAACATGACTCCCAGTTTTGCAATCTCAATGGTCGTGGTTGGTGTGACAATGAAATCGCACACCGTGTCGAAGATTTCGGGTTTCAGTTCCTCCTCCAACACCTGGCAGTCATGCACGAGGGCAACGCAAGGAACAGAAAAGCTGACGGCCTTGATGGTGGTCAAGATACCCCATTCGAGGTCAAAAAATCCATGTCCTTTCCCGAATCGAATACCCCGATGATTGATGGCTCCGGTACCTGTCACCATCAAGTCCACTCGAAGATCAAGCTGCTGGATTTCTGCTAGACTCAAATGCCTTCCTAGACCAGGTCTTTCCATGGCATCCAAGAGACAAGCGAGTTTCCTCGCTTCTGGCGCTACAATGACTGCTGGATCTAGCAGCCAAAACCCGCGTCTGATAGCGTAGGTTGTCACCAATACCTTTTTGCCATCTTCCAGTGCTCGCAGGCGAAGTCGTTCCAAACAATTGTCCGGCGTGATGAAGACAACCCGGGCATCAGCGTAACAGCGCAATGAAACCAATCCCTCAGTTGCAGAGTCGGAGCCCTGGAAATCTGCTATGAAGCTTGAGAAATCATAGTGAAAGCGCGAGTCGGGAATGGCGACCTCTAGCAATCGTGGCCAGACCAGTTGTCGAATCTGGTCCTTTTCTTCGGATGCCATGCTTGCCACTCAACAATCCGGTCTCTCCGTTTCGATGTCTTTCAGTGAGCCGGCTTTGGAACGGGACTTAGTCAAGGTCGACTGACTCAAGGCCGATCAAGTCTGCGAAAAGCTCCTCCGCACACACTTGTCCACTTGTGCGGGGTTCAAAATTGGGCAATTTACTTCGACTGCAATGAATACTGCAATTCTCACCTGCGATATCTTCAAAACGCCAAACCTCGGTCTATGCCGAAGGGCTCGGGGCTACGCCGTACCCCTGCCGAAATGGTTACGGGCTGGCTGGCGGCTTCATGAGATTAACGTCTTTTTAAGAAGCACCCGGCCCGCTACACTCCCTAGCCTTGTCCACCATCTACACAAAATGGGCGAGGCTCCGAGCACCGCTATACGTACTGTTATCGAGAAGCTATTGAACATTTTGCATTCGAGGGCTCCACTGCCAAAAAGTCCTGACACCATCCCCGCTGACAAGCAGGGAAGCAAGGACGTTTCTCCAACCTGGAACAGTGCCCAATCACATCGACATACTGATTGTCCAGATGTTATTGAAGGCGTATACCCTCGGGTTCTTCAACAGACCGGCCATTCCAGCAACATTGCGGAGATGAGCCTCCATCCTTGTGGGCCTTGTTGACTCTGGTTGATTGACACAGCTCATGAACTATAATAATACTCCAAAGATTGGCAGACTGGACTAGCCTTTGCATTTCGGTGCGATCAAAGACAACCACCAACTTCGGCCAGAAAAGCCCTGCACCTTCTGACGGAACCTACTTCTTCGTGCATGCTTTTGCACCCGTAAAGATGGGAGGCCTTATCAACCTCCGAGGCCGAAGCCTCTACTGGCTGATGAAGTTCATATGCGGAACTTCCTTCATGATGTACGGGTACGATGCTGGTGTGCTCGGTGGTGTGGTTTTGCACAAGCCCTTCCTGGATGCAATTGGCAATCCCACGGGAGAATGGGTTATACCGTGGATTTCAAGTTCCTACTCCTTGTCGGCGTGTATCACCTGCCTGATCGTCGCCACCTTTGCCTTCAAGATTGGCCGGAGGGGGACCATTCTTTTGGGAAATGCCGCCGCCATTGTCGGTTCCATCATTCAAGCGACCGCCAACTCTGTGGCACAACTAACCGTTGGTCGAATCATAACAGGCTTTGCCATCGGTTGCATTTCCAGTGCTGTGCCCACCTACCTTGCGGAGACTGGAGTCGAGATAGGAGACCGTGGCCCTGCGAATGCATTCAACGCCATAAGTGAGTCCCGTCTCTGTCGAGAGAAATTTCCTGTATCTCGAAGCTATCGAGATCATTCGCAGACGGCGACCACGCAACGTATGCTAACAACGTTCCGCAGTGCTGATTAGCGGCGTCCCGATTGCATACTGGATTGACTACGGCAGTATCAAGTCCAACGGCCAATGGAGCTGGAGAGCCCCCATTGCCTTTCAATGTATCTTCGCGCTTACTGCGGGAGTGTGCATGCTCTTCCTCCCCGACACACCGCGATACTACTATGCAAAGAACCGCCACGCGGAGGGCGACGACGCATTGGAACGGCTGAATGATGCTCCCATCGATTCGGAACAAGTCCAGAGGATCAAGCGGGAGATCCTCATCGCCATCGAAGCAGAAGAGGAGGCAAAGTCTAGTTTACATTGGAAGGCATTTACGAGCAGCGGCATCATCGACCGCACACCCATGAAGATCATCCGACGGCTGTGTATCTGCTTTTGGCTCCCGATGATTAGGGAATGGATGGGCTCTTCATTGCTTGCCTATTGGAGTACTGTGCCATTTTCATAAGTAAAGTGTTTCCAAGCTAACTGGAGGGAAATAAACAGGCTCTGTGATCCTCAGCCGGGTTGGCGCCCGCCCCTCCCTCGTTAGCTTGCTTGCGGGCATTCTCAACATCTGCTTTGCCCTCGGCTGTGTCCCGCTCTACTTTACCATTGAAAGAGTCGGACGTCGCTCGGTTCTTCTCTACGGGGCCTGTGTCATGTCGGTCCTGATGCTCATTTTCACCGTCCTCCAAGCTGTTTCCCCGACACAATCAGTTCAATGGGCAGGGATCGGCATCATCTTCGCCTTTCTCTTCGTGTTCGGGTATGCCTGGCAGGGCTGCGTGTGGCTTTACTGCTCCGAGGTCGCGCCGCTCGAATATCGACATATTGGCGGCGCGTTCACGGGGTTCGGCGAGTGGCTGATGACCTTCATCACTGTCTTCGCCGGCCCCATCGGCCTGACCAATGTGGGCTGGAAATTCTGGCTGTGGGTGCTCATCGGCAACCTCGTGGCCGTGGCATTTGTCTTCTTCCTGTGTCCCGAGACAGGCGGCAAGACGCTCGAGCAGGTCGACTTCTTGTTCTCCAAGAGCGGGTTCGTTACGGGCATGAAGAAGGCCGAGGCCGCGCACGACCTGGATGAAGAGGAGGGAAATGGGAATGAGCGCTGGATCGAGCTCCAGGGTAAAGCTGCAGAGCAGCGTGTCGAGGTCAAGGGTTAGGAAGATAAGAAAAGGCGCGAGACTGGACCCGGCCTGTGTTTCTTTCCCTAGAGCCAAGGTAGTCGTAGAGTCTTCGAGTCCAGCGGCTTATTGACAGCGAACCAATCCCTTTTGCTTCAAGGGACTGGGGCTCGTCAGCTATTGCAGAGCGTAGGGCCGAGCAAGTAAAACATCTACATTGGGCCTGGGACAGCTCAAGTATAAGTAGTTAAGAGGTACACGATGGAACCTCCAGGTTACCCAAATGGTCCAGACATGCTTAAGATTAGGCGCGTGACTAACTCGCCAGTATTCTTATCGTAAATATGCCTGATATTGCAGACTTCTTGCAGATACCTCTTGACCTGAAGCATAATCTGCCGTCCAAGCGAGATATATTCGGCGTCTGCTTGCTTGACCTGTGAAGCAAAGATATCCATTAAAGGCGTCCAAGATCTAAGGCTCAGTGGATGAGACCGTGAACCTGTCGTCTATAGTAGATTCGCATTTCGACACGAGAGAGAAGGAAGAAATTACCAATCACTCGTCCAGGAAAGAATGCCTGGGCACTTCCTTCGTCGAGGCATCTGCTACTTCAAGTTATATTCTGCGTACGTCGAGTCCATATCCCAGGTTGGAGTGGCCTCGATAAAGTGCTTCGTACACTCGGGGCTTTACAACTTATTTGTTGACTACATTGCTAGGTTCCTTGTTCTCTTTCTTGACTGAAGTATTGACGGTGTGACAGCAGATTCCAAGTATTGTTTACGCTCCAGTACGTTCCTCCTCTTCAATGCTACCGAACTTTGGCGATCTCGAAAGCTTGTTGGACAAGATAGGGAGGATGCGGTGAGCGTAGAAGTGCCAGGAGTCTTAGTGAAGACTATCGAATGTGTCTCATTGGGGCTAGAGAAACGAAGTCATGAATTCTGAAAGAACAGTCAGTCAGATAACATGAAGAAGATGTGCAAAGCAAATAGCGTCCTCCTAGTTTGACGCTGTAGGAATAAGATCAAAACAGATCAAGTACAGAATGTTGAAACCATGAACCTCAGCTTCGAGGATGCTTAGACAATGTAGCATCTGAAAGAAACTCCGAGAGTCGGGTTGATAAATTTGGACCTTTCCTCTGCCTGCGTAGGACTTCCATTCAACGCAGCTTGGTATGATGACTGACAGAAACCTCAGTGTTTGCATGTCGAGACCCATTTGGTTTTCGACGTCTGATGAAGTAAACGACAACGCAAGATTGCCTTTGACTGGACAACAGAAGAATGAAGGAGCACACTGGCTGATGTCATTTGGGTGTCAAAACCCTGACACGATCGTGTCACTATCATCTTGGTTTCGGAGGCAAGCATTCCCCAAGGGACTGAGAAAGGAGATTTGCACATGAACGAGAGGCAACAAGCTGTATTCGCTTGTCAAAATTGCAGCAAATGGTGTAAGCACTGCCAACAAAGTTCGAATCAGTTCGCGGATTCCGTGGCTGTTTGCTTTCCGAATCTATGCCTTGCCGACATCTCAAATCCATGTGTCTGTGGTCGAAGAGAGCGCAAAACATCGCAAGAGGGCGAGGCAAAGGGTCTTGAATGTCATCAAAAATTGTAGATGTCTTGCGTGAAGACTTCAGGATCGGTAAGGCTCTTCGGGGTTCATCAGGGCCTCAGAACATAGGTCGGATGACTATCTCAGCTCTCAAGATGGAAACAGAGCCAATAGTTCGCGAAGGATTGAGGAGGAAAATGTAGAGGCGGCGAAGGCGAGCTCGAACTTCTTGTGAACGCCCGAGGAACTGCGCCCCGGTGTAAGGGTGAACGTCCAGGAGAGAAACTAAACGAAGGAAAATGTCGTTTCATTTGGATAGAAAGGGACACTTCTTAGAGGCTCGTGACAGGCATTCCGAACACAAGAGACAAGCCTTGGACATTCGAGCAGTTCGTGATGCCATCAGCCTATGCTCAGATGGTAATGATGCTGAAAGGGAGTGAGTGACAGGCAATCGAGTCGAGACAGAGGTCGTGTGGTCGGCAAAAAGGTACCAGGGTTGCAACCCTTTTCAACGCAGTCGGCTAGAAGAAGGGCGATGAGTGGAATGCGGTAAATACTCGCAGAGGTGAAATGCACATCAAGGGGAAACCGAGCAGAAGAAGGGGATTGAGGACGGGCGTTGGGCAGCCGTCGTGGTAGCAGCTGCTCCATATTGTGAGAGAGTGATAGGTGGCTGGTCAGGACAATACCAAAGCCCAATGGCCTCGACAGACATTGTCAGATGACAGACACTGAGCAGGACGGTCGATCTCAGCTTCGCAAAATCCCAGGTTCTTTATCGAGCAACATTGTGGTTGAGGCTTCGAAGATGCGAAATAATAATGTGCTTGGTGTATGCTGAGACGCTCGTTCTGTGCTCCCGAGGCTGGACTCTCACAGTATCGTTGTCCCCCGCATTTGACGATGATTGATCATAACCAACTCCAACAATTGCATTGATGTATCCCATTTGGATCCTCCTTCGTGTCCCATCCTCTATGCATTCAGTTTATTCACGTAGACTCCTACAGTCTCACAGCCCGTATCGTATATTTTACAATCCCATCGCCCAACACAGTACCATGTCATCCGCAGAGTTCCCTGCGCCTCAACTTAGATCTGTCGCCGAGGATGTCGCGACCCTCCTCAAGTCTCGAGGCGAATCCATCTGCGTGGCAGAAACCGCCGCTGGAGGCCTCATCTCCGCCTCGCTGCTCGCGACCCCAGGGGCCAGCAGGATCTACAAGGGCGGCTTGACGCTGTACACCTTGGAGTCTAGGATTGCCTTCGCTGGCTGGACGCAAAAGAACATAGACAATTACGATGGTCCGACCCCAGAACTGGTGGAAGGGCTGGCTAAGAACGTGAGGGAAAAACTGCAAGGGACTTATTGCGTTGGTGAGGTACGTACTCGCCCTTCACTCTGAATATGTAGATCACGCAACGGCCTCGAGTTCGAGACTTCTGGCTTACCCGACCGCCATCGATACAACAGTCAGGCACAGCAGGACCGACCGCCAGTGGGAAGACCCCGAACAGGCAGCCGTAAGTGATCTCCTGGGCCCAGAATCTGCCTCACACGCCTCACACCAACGCGCCTCAATACGGACATGTGAAGCTGACACGAGGCGGAAATTCACAGCGGCTACGTCGCATTGGCTGTGGTGGGCGAGAAGGGCAGTTTAAACAAGGATCTGGACACGGGGCTGGGCAATGATAGGCAAGCCAACATGGTGGCATTCGCAATTGCCGCGCTTCAGATGGTCAAGGACTTCATCTTGTCGACCGACAATAACGGCGGTGACCGGGGTGGGAAAAGCTGAAAACACCAAAGGGTGTGTGACACTGATGACGGACTGGATTCGAACAAGTGGCCCGTGCAGCTGTGGCTTGACTATCACACGCTGGTCCTTGCTGGTCCTTGCTGGCCCTTGCTGTTCCCAGCAGCCTTTCTGCTTCCAAAGTCCAAAATGAATTACATCACCACTCTGGTTGAAGCGGTCGCCTGCCGACGTAGCTTGCAGTCGTCTGATGTAGCTCTGAATGGCTTGCCCGTCTTCCCAACATCCGGCATTTCTTTTCGAGACTCTTGGAGTGGAGTGACCAGCCTACGCAGAGACGGCGCAGAAAAGGGACAGAAAAAAGGTAGGTGACACATCACATTTCAACGTCACGGGTTGACTGGGGTATGTATGGGGTGGCTTTGTGTAGCCCGTCAGTCTCCCACTCAGCATCCCACAACGCCATGCAAACATTTGCGGTTGACCTGTCAATCTCGCATTGTCGAACCTTGGAAAACCCATTGACACGAAATACGGGCGAGGACCAGGTTTTTGATTTTCCGGGGCCAACCATCGCAACGTGCCAAGTTTCATTGGGAAGCAGGCATCTCATTCTGATGTTCGGATCGAAAACTTCGGATCGAGGTTCGACCTAATAGTTGTGCCACAATCTAGCGAAATGAGCGCGTGGAGGGAATCAAGGTCCAGAATAGTGCTGCCCGCCTCACCTCTTTTCATCCTACCAGCTTCCGATCGCGCAATGTGGCAGAAGCAAAGGACTTTACGCTTGGACGATCAAATCGGGCCTGACATGTTAATGCTCGCGCCGGTGCTCTCAGCCGAGTAGAAACAAGCGATTAGGAGTGTCGGGATATGCCAAGCTGCCGTAGCAAACTCCCAACCCTCGACGCGCTTTCAAACCTGTCTCGTGACACGGGTTGCGTGGTCTTGTTTTTGACAGCTGTCAGTTCTTGAACCAACCAGGCGGGAATCAACTGCAAACAATCATACCCTCTTGTCAACAAGGGCGGGCAAAAGGGGAGGGTGAAGGACTCAAGACTCTGCAAGCCGAGAGAGGAAAATAAACAGCTTGCGGCATGGAAAGGACGTGGGACACGCGTGGGCAAATCTGGCCAGGGTTTCGCCCCTCCGGACAGGTTTGTTTTGCGACACGTGAAAAGATTGGCCTTCAAGTTTGACAGCCAAAGCCCGACAACTTAGTTATCGCCCACGCCGCGGATATCACCGGGAATGATGAGCAGAGCCAAGAATACTCGGTATATTGGCCGTGTTGGGCGATTTCAGAAGACGCGGTGAGGAAGGACGACCTCACGATCGAGCCAATCGTTCACGTCGATGCGAAAAATGAGGCGAGTGGAGGCTCAGGCCCCTTGCGGAAGAGGAAGGCAGTCGCAAAGTGACGGGCACATTCCTTGTCTTGCATATTTGCGGCCGCTCTGCATGCTCTTTGTCAGGCACTCCATACTTGTTCAAGTAACGCAGCAGACGATCGAGCTCTGAAGGCTCGAGATCCCTGAGGATCAGAGTTGAAAATCCAGCGCCGATGGATGTCGGTGCCAAATATTGTCGCACGCCGGATTCCCCCTCTGATCTCCGTCTTTGCCCGTCTCCTCAAGTCCCATTTTAAACCGGACATGGACGTTCAAGTACAAGTAGAACATTTTCCCGGCGGCGTAGCCCGTCTGCACGTTGCTCAAACCGGACCACCAATTGGAATGCATGGCTGTCATCCCTGGTTTGCTGGGTTTCAGATCCGTTGTTTGATCTTCCTCGCTATCAGAGCGCAAACGCGAGCCAAGGATTCGCTCACCATCCCTGTCGCTCCGTGCTTTGCTTGCCTTACCTCTCCTCCGTCCACCTGCTGGATCCGAAAATTTGGCCTGGTCAAGTCTGTTGATACAGCTTGCTGACCTCCTTCTGCCTTTAGCACGGTTCCTAATTCCGGGAGCAACAAGCATCTTGCTTTTGCGAATTGTTTAACGCTACCAGAACCAGGTTTTTGACATTTGCCAGTCCTTGAAGCCGATTTGCCAATGGCCTGATTCACACCGTCTCTTAATGTTGAAGCTAGAAACTCTTTTGGAGGATGATCCGATGCTGCGGCCCACGTGGCAATGCGAAGGCTAGCACTGGTGGAGGCTTTGATTGATTGAAGGACTCCGGTGGGATGCTTTCCTACCCGCTGATCTAATGGGACTACCTACTAGTACAGCAGATACCTCCTACCTACGAAGAGGAGTTTGTCGCGGTTGGTGCGCGTCTTTTCTGACTGAAAACCACCGGTTTGGGCCTTCGAGAGGCGCTGGGAAACAACTTGAACACGTAAAGTCGGGTTCGCTGAAGGCGCCAGAGGCAAGGTCCGCGTGATTCAAGCTCCGAGATTTCTCTCAACGCCAGTTTTGCGTGTTCCTACCGAGTACTTCGGGCTTTTAAGTTGGATTAATCTCTCTACCGTACAGTAAGAAATTTGGCTGCCTCCCGTCGGAAGATGCCCCGACCACGCGGATGCTGCCACAATTGGTGGAGTTCGACGCCGATTTACTCATGCCTGGCAGTCAGTCACTGAGAGGATAATACTGTTAACGGTGAACGCTGGAGCGTTCAATCACGAGCAGTTGATAGTTCGCAAATTCGGTCTTCTGCTTGTCATGCATTAATGTTTCATAGTGGACATCGTTATGCATGGACCCATTGCCAAGGCCGGTGGCTGCTGATGTGATGGGCGATGGACCTTTTTGGGGGGGAAGGGAGGAAGAGGGAGAATGGATCGTCAGGCGCGGATTCCTGGCCTGGTGGCCGGTCGAGAAGGAAGATGGGTGGATTAGAGCATTGTGTGGTGCTATTTCTCGTCCTTTCCACCCGACGGAGAAGACTAGTGAACAGCCCCTGTGACCTTGAAGACTTCTTTGGCTTTGAGAAATCTTTTGCATCATGCCATCTCTTGCTCTGCAACGGTTGTTGGTCAACCTACAAGTACTCCAAATAGGGCGATCCCCCAACCAAGGCACTGGGTCCGAAGCCACGCGCCCCGAAACCCAGACACCCTCGTCCACCACGCAGATTTTTGTTTGCTTACCGAGTCCGGTTTCACTTGCCCTCTGGGGGGATATCCATGTTTCCGGATTCTTCTTCAGCAGGACCAGGATGTTGTTTTGCGATCTGTGGCGTCTGCAGACTGGCTTCCTGTCATTGGCCTGTCGCCAAGGAGCTAGGCAGTCGACGTCTGATTGATTCAAGGGGACCCCTTCATCACCGACGCACATAGCGGCCGAAACTGCACCCGCTCAGTCATGGCGAAGGCTAAAGCTTCGTGATGACATCCATCACCATTTCCACTGGTCAACAAGCCCAAAGGTGCGTCTGCTGTCGGTCTGCAACAATGTTGGTCCTTTTTCGTTGCAACAAATGTGACTGTTCTATGGAGAGCAAAGTGACATCATGTTTGCCACAACGGCAGTACCCACCAAGTACTGGTACAATATGGCAGATCCCTGCTGGATTATCATCTAGACACATGCAAGGATGTCAAGATGCTCACGGTCCATTTCGGGCAGGCGATCAGACAACAATATGATATGGGTCTTTTTTTGTGTCCCGCGCCAGGAAAAGGGGCATCCATGCCTGCTTCTCTGTTCTGGACCAGCGCTGCAACTCTGCCCACATCTTCCAAATTGCTTCAAGTCAACGTGGGAAGTGGGGCTGTGGTTGTCGACGGCCCCCGTGTGGGTGGAAAAGAAAACGTCTCGAATAATCCAGAAGCCGAAATGAGCTTCCAAGGGAAAAAGGAGGTGGAACAAAATGTCATCCTCCAGCTACTTACCCAGCACGTCCTGAACAATTCGGAGGAAAGGTTGCCAGAAAATTAGTATCACTCGCCTCCCATTAGTTCTGTTCCAGGAGATGACTCGAGAATTAGCTAGCTTGGACGATAAAGTGCTGTAGCCCAGCCAGATTTGTTTGTGGCTGCGGAAATGCGATGCCTTCCTGGTGATTGCCGCAGGCTCTGTCCAAGCCGAGCAAGACAATTATTACTCGTACGCAGCTCCGGATCCGGAACTAACGATATCTGCGGCGGGAGTTGAACAAGGCATGCACATTCCGGTCGCTAATCGAGGGCTCACTTGTGCCTCGCATCGAAGCGAAACTAGGAGTCTGACGATCTGGTGGTACGAGTCGACGAGTGGGAGCTGGAGACACCCATCACCGTCAAAGTGGCTTGCTGCAGAGGCCCGAAAGGGAGCAACGCGCCGTTTCAACGGCCTCGTTAAGGCGGTCGATAGGCCCGAAGAGACCAAGGCGGCTTGTAAGGACGCAGTTGAAGCAATTTTCAACGCTGGTGCCGTTCTGCTGGACCTCCGCCACGTGGGTGCAAGTAGCGGGGAACCCGGGTCTGCTGGTGGTGGTGGTGGCGGCCAGCTGCGTTATTGTGCGTAAGAGGTATGGCGAATAAGTAAAGCCACTCAGGGCGGGTGTCCGTCAGGGGCGGATGCGCCTCTAACAAAGCACCCGTCATATCTTCAAGGCCGGACTTGTTTCCTTAGTGGACGATAAAAGGCTCCGACAGACTTCGTTAGCTTCCAAGGTAGAAGGCCCCGCCACATTGGGTCAACTGAAACCTCGATTCCGTTGCACTCTTTCGTAATCAGTCCTGGAATTGAAATCAACCTTCGTGGCTCGGTGGGTGGATGGCATCATGGCGTCTTTCTGACTTGCACAAGCTGACTCGCATGGAAATGGGGGAGCGACGTCGATGGAATCGATCTCAGATGGGCCTGTCGATTAAATTGGGCATCAAGAGGTATGATGATGAGGCAGGATGTTGCGACTTGCGATTGTGTTGCACGCTGGATCGGGGATTCTTAATTGCGGTGATGGATGCTTTGCGCCAGTTGTGTGCATCTCCCAGGTTTGCTGCCCGCCGAGACGCAAGCTTAAATTGGAGATCGGGAGGGGTCAGAATCAGGGTAAGGGTTACCCAGGGTACAGGCTGGTGGGCGCATCAACGCCAGTGAATCGCGTCCACAACCACAACCTCGGGGACCGGATTAGAGGGATCGCCCCTCTGCTGTGATGAGTAACTAAGTAGGTAAATGCCTCGTACCAAGTACATTGCTCGTCCTTAGTAGTCGAGACAACATTGCTGCCCAACCTGCCCAGGGTCGTGGTAATCGGCTACGTACTCGGTACTCCATGCTCCTCCTGTGTGGCTTTCTGGGGCAGCTCCGGATAATAATTCCCGATATCTTTGTACTGAATCTCCAAGGGCCGAGGGGGGATTCTGCTATACCTATTGCGGACACTGGGCGTTCTCCTGCGAGTAGCAAATGGCAATACGGGCATTGGCGTTGGCGACCATGTCCTTTTTGGGTTTACGCAATCAGAGCGCTTCCGCTCAAGTATTACTAGGCACGAAGTAGCGAGGCAGGTTGGTACCTCAATTCTGCCCAGTTCTGCCCAGTGTCTTTGAGACTCTTTTGCACGGACACACTGTGTACTCCAGCCATGTTATTTGTCTTGGTACTCCATATTCGAAGGTGACCCTTGCGCTTTCTCCAAAGAGCTCATCACCACCAAATCTAGGTAGGTAATCTGCACGCCTAGAACCCCAAACGTCTGACGGCTCCGCCTGCACACTTGTAGTCGGTCCAAAGGAGTACTTGTACAAACATGCTCTGAGACCTGGTATTAACCAAGATTCTCGGAAGACCGCGAAAAGCCGACTCCTCGATTGGGCGAAGCACGATCCGGGGCAACCCGGCTCGGATGCGAGGGCCTCCCCAGTCAGAGTAACGACTACTTGTACGAGTACTCGAACCACAAAGACACAGAATACGCGAGCTTGGCAACTCCCGGGCTAAAAAGACAATCAATGGCGATTCGTAATGATATGCAGAGTTTGCTGAGAAGATTGGTGTTTCAGATGAGAATTTTCGTTTGACTTATTCCTCGTACCGACGTCTCCCTCGAAACAGTGAACATTGTGGATCGACAGCGATTTGGTACTGCACGCTGGGGTACCTCGGTGAATGACGAGTCGTGTTCGAGCCCAGTTTCATCAAACCTCTTCTCGGAAATGAGAGCATGATGCGAAGGGAGGATTCTCGTGGGAAGATCCGAGGATGATTGGCGGATCATAACTCGGCACCAGCCAGCTGTCTCCCTTCTACCTTTCCAGTTGCGGGCCCGGACATGGGAGAGGGCGGAACCATCCGAACACTCTGTATTAATGGGGGGTGTTACTAAATAGTAGACAACCCAGAAGCGAGGATCAAGATGAAACGACCAACTCGGAGAATTCGGAAGCCGCACGAGCTCGGCGGGCAGATTCCGTCTGCTTGACTTTATTTCAGTCCGACATCTGTGAACCTTCTCGGACTCTATTCCTGACATGGTCAAGGGTCAGATTATCAAAGTGATGGTCCTCTCCAAGTTGGGGAAAGAGATTTGACCGACATCCCATTCTTATTGCTGAGCAATGTGCGCATACTTAGGTAGACCGGACCGACCATTGCGTGATCCACCTGGTCTGAATCATCCAAACACCTCTGACGTGAAAGAAGATGACTCGGTGATGGACGATATTCGGGCACGGTGGAGGCTGAAGGGGCTATTCTTTCCAAGATTCCAGGTAAAATACCCCCTGAACGACAGAGACGGCGAGGCCCACCAGCGGCAGGACTTCACAAAAAGGTCGAAAAGGATTCTGGCTCGTGGAGCCTTAAAGACACTTGTCGGGTCGGGAAGAGGATGGGGGATGAGATCAAAAGGTCCCTTTCAGGAAACAGCAATGACATGCGCAGCAAGAGCACGAAACAGTGTATGTATAGGTACGAAGGGTCCGGGAGAAGCAGGTTTTGACCTGGTAGTGGTGATGATGCCAAACTTGATAATTGTAACGGACAATACTGTCACGCTGTCGGGCGGGCGGGCGACGGAGACGTTAGGTGGACACGAAAGCGACTCTAACGGTCTTCCTGGAGCAGAAGCATCGCTCTCTTCTCTCTTTCAGACATGAATGACGCGCAGCAGGCGCCAGGACCCCCTTGAGGAGCGGGAAAAAAAAGAGGGGCAGAAGATGTGGTATACAAAGGGCATTATTACACAAAGGCGTACTTACGAAGTACTCGGTTTAACGAGGGCGGGCACCAAGAGCCTAAGAGGAGGTTGTGAGAGGCGAGGTAGATCATTGCCCGTGAATATAAGAACAACGTCGATTGTGCCTGACTCGACGCCCGAGGCTTGCGAGTGTTTATGTGCCCTAGGTTCCTAGGTACCTTCTAAAAGGTACCCAAAGAGGCCCACAGGCCTGATGATTGCCAGGCATGTACGGAGTACCTGGTACCTCGGTACGCGGGTCAGGCGAGATAATTTCCAATCACTTACGAGGCCCGTGGGCCAATCAGTGGGCGCTTGACAACCCCCAAACCCCCAACCATTCTTTCCCCGACAGTTAAATTGAGATCTTGAGTCTTAAGGCAGGGTGGACGAGAGGGAAAGTCCTCAGTCATGGTTTTCTAACAATTACCTGCCTTAGTACTGAGGTAGAATCAAAGACTCGTCGTGAGAAGCTCGCAAAGGGGCCTAACTATAAGAACTTGCTCGGTAGGGTACGAGGTAAACGACCAAGGTCCAGGCTCTCTGGGTGGGCAAGGTGGGCCACGACGGGGAGCCAAAAAACCATGGGTCTGACACATGACGAAGAAGTCACTTGACTTTTTGCAGCCTGGAATCAGGAATCCATCTTTTACCATTGGCGGGGACTACGAAGTTCGGGTGGCTGGCTCGCTGGGTCGTCGTGGTGTATCTCTGGACATATGCGATGGTTTGTAGGTATTATGTACCTAAGCAACGTGTACTCACCGACTCGATCCAATGCCATACAATAGATTCACAGTACATATTGTATAAGGAACGAGCCATTATAATTAACCCTCCCCGTTATATCGAGTGGCTAATCCTTCCGGGCTCTCGCTGGGCGGACCTGACACTTCCACGCCACCCAACCAACCAGGCACTCCGCGCTTTTCGTATCATTCATTATTTCATCATCTTGGCCGACATCTCCTTACCTACCAAGTTCTTGTGAGAACCTGGCAGCTGGAGCTTGCAACATTCCATTCTCGACCGCACTTTTGCCTCTATTTGCACAGCTACGAGCTACAAGCTCGGGCCTGAGCTGGGCTGGACGGAGATTCCGTTCTCGTCACGACTTGACCGAACCTTATTGTTCCGAGTTCGCAACAGGTACGATACGAGCCCTGTCAGATCCCACATCGCGTGAAAGTAGGCTGGTTACTTGTGTTAACAAGCGGGCAGGTGTGGGCGGGGGGCTGTGGGCTGTGGGCTCCTGACGCCTCCCTCGGTGCTGAGACCTCAGACCTGGACTAAGTATCCCGATTACCATTCGGTGCCATTCTCCTGGGTAGGATCCCCCCTCCCCCCTTGGCTTTGGGGTGCTTGGGTTTTGGGCACCAGCACTAGATGGGTTGGGACGGACCAGGGGGGGCCTCTCCTTGAGAGCTTGGGCTTGCCCCCTGCCCTGCTAACTCCGACCTGCCTCGTCTCCCCCTCCTCAGTGCGGTATTAGGCTCTTAGGCTCATTTTTTTTAGGTGCTCTGGTCCTTGGACCCCCCGGCGGCTCCTGAACCTTCTTGGGCTTTTCTTTTCTCGCTGGCTGTCAAACGCCCATCCCATCGTCGCTTTTGCCTCACTCTTCGCTGTTCACTTACAAACAGACCCGCAACCTCTCCCTTCTGGTCGAGCTTCGAACCTGTCCCAATCCTTCAAAACCACTACCACTACTCGACTCCACCCCTGTCAGTCTTGTCCTCGACCTAGCCCCAGCCCGCAACACAGATCGACGGCAGGGCATCAACCACACAGAGACACACGCTACCAACAGCCGGACAAGAGTAGCTTCTTTCGCTGCCATCTCTGCCTCTTGAACACAAGTTATCTCGACCGTTCGCACCGCTTGCTGCCCGCCGCTTCCACCCACCTTCCCCCCAATCCCGTCCCATCATCATCCCATCTATCCGTCACCACACTACTTTTAGTCTCTCCTTCTGGCTTCAGTCCTTCTTTCCAACCGTGATCGACCGCTTCCCAAAAACATTGTTTCCTCGACTGCTTGCTTCATTCTCCAAAACCGTTTCCCTACCCGGTTTTGAATCCCCAGCATTCGTCCGATCAGCCTCGCTCGAATGATGATCAGCTCTATCTCTGGAACACGGAGCTCTGTGTAGCTTTTGGGCATCCATCTCGCCCTCAAGAAAGCTCCCTCGCCTCGGTTGCTTCCCCACTACAACTCCCCGAAGCACGGTCACCAGAGGTGTGAGAGACACGTCTTTTTCAGGGTTTTATTCGGGTTCGGTCGACAATCCATCAACATCCATCAACGGGTCGAACCAGGTTAAGACTCTTGTCCTTGCTGC